TTTCTGGCTCTGGACAGACACTGGCTTTTGGGCATTTGGGGAGTGGACCAGCAGAAGGGAGCTCTCTCATTCTCTGCCTCTCAAATAATAGTAACATAGTCATAAATCAGGTGGATGTCGGAAGGGCACCCCATACAAGCCCAGTGCACCGGCCTGCCAAGCCGGAACACCTGAACATCAGATAGTTCTTGTTCACAGCATGGAGTGCAGGGTATTGTCACATGTTTGCTGAGTTCAGGGTCAGGTATGAGTTCAGCAGGTATGAGTTCTTGAACATACTCTGTCAGTGAATAGAACACTGGTGTCAGATCCTCTGCCTGTTGTCTCATTCTCATAAAAGTGGAGGGAGCTAGGAAAGATGTGAGCTGAGAGGAACCAGGGCGGTGTGGCCCAGCAGCGACCCTGCATAGGCAGAAGCTGAGCTCTCAAGAATAAAGATCAGGAGGGTGGCTCTCTGGTCCCTGTGGCCTGCAGCGACTTGTGGGTGTTGTGGTTGTAGATACCAGGAATATGGATACAATGAAGCCTTGTTCCAGCCATGCCATGATTCCCAGCTGCCCTTTCAGCTTCTGTTCACAGAGAATGTCTTGTGCGTACTTCTGGGAGGGAGCTTCCTGGGATTTTGATCTTTTTCTCCCTGCCCTCCAGCTGTGCCCACCCAAATTCCCTGCCAGACTTTGGGGACAAACTTGCTCCACTACTATGCCTATGTTAACACTTCCTGCTGTGCCAGCCCTCTTGATTCCCTGGGAACCAGAATAGCTAGGTCTGCAGGTTCTCATTGTTAGAGAGGTGTGCCTTTCACTTTAGCAGGAAATACACATTATTTTTTGAAAAGGATTATGGATTGATTTTGAGAGAGCTACAGAGAGAAAAGATACAGAGAATCTTCCCTCCATTGGTTCACTTCCCAGGTAGCTGCAATGACCAGTGCTGGCCAGGAGCTTCATTTTTTTTTTTAATTGGAAATTCAGATATACAGAGGAGGAGAGACAGAGAGGAAAATCTTCCACCCATTGAATTACTCCCTATGTGGCCGCAAAGGCTGGAGCTTAGTCAATCCGAAGCTAGGAGCCTGGAACCTCCTCCAGGTCTCGCACATGGGCACAGGGTCCCAAGACCTTGGGCTGTCCTTCCCAGGCCACAAGCAGGGAGCTGGTTGGGAAGTTGGGCCACTTGGATTAGAACCAGCAACCATATGGATTCCTGATGTGTTCAAGGCGAGGACTAGCTACTAGGCTACCACGTGGGGCCCCAGGAGCTTCATTTTGGTTTCACTCATGAGAGGCAGGGGTCCCAGCTCTTGGACTATCTTCTGCTACCTTTCCCAGGCAATTAACAGGGAGCTGAATTAGAAATGGAAGAACCCAGATTCCAACTAGAGCTGATACTGGATGCCAGCATTGCAGGCAGCAGCTTAACATGCTTATACTACAACATCAGCCTGGAAGAAATACAAATAAATATCTTTGTCAAACTTGAATTCAGCCTTTCCTTACCATCACCACACCCCATCACTACTCTTGACCATTTGGTGGGAAGTTTAATCCATCACAGATTCCTCCTCTACCAAACACTACCTCCCCCGCTACACATACACATAAACATACACACACACACACACACACACACACACACACACACACCCTCCAAATCTGAGAGACAACAATCCTTGGAGTTTAGCTAGTGGAAAAGCCTCTACACTTCCTCACCATGTAAGACTGGGCCATTGTAGGAGTGGGCATTTAGCATCACCAGATGCTGCTTACGATGCTCAGAGGGTCTGGATTGGAACCCCACCTGCCAACTCCAGCCCTGGCTATTGCAGACACTTGGGGAAAAGCAGATTTACAGAGGGAAGGAAACACAGGGAGAAAGATCTTCCGTCCACTGATTCACTCCCCAAGTGAATCAGTGGTTGCAACAGCGAGTGCGAGCTGATTGGAAGCCAGGAGCTTCCTATGGGTCTCCCACATAGGTGCAGGGTCCCAGAGCTTTGGCCCATCCTTTGCTGCTTTTCCAGGCTATAGCAGGTGTCTGGATGGGAAGTGGAGCAGCAAGGACATGAACTGGTATCCATATGGGATCCTGGTACTTGCAAGGGGCCAGGACACAATCCTGTGCATATGGGATCCTAGTGCTTGCAAGGGGGGGAGGGGTCTAGCCAATTGAGTCATTGCGCTGGGCCCTAATTTAGTTTTATAATCTGCTTAATCCTTGTCCTCACTGGCCACTCAGGCAACATTAGCTTGGCTCCCTTGCATCTCTCTGACCTTTCTCACCCATTAGCGGATGGGGCAGACACTCCTTGGGCATCATTGTCTTCAGGCCAATACCCTCTTTTTTGGGACACTTTGGAGCTCCTAATCTGTCTTCCTCACAGGTCTCTGTTATGGTTTGAGCAGGATGTGGCTCCCTAACTGCTTGCATTTGTTCACACTCCAATTCATTACGTTAAAGATCAATGGTTGGGCCTGGCACGATGGTCTGGCAGCCAAAGTCCTCACCTTGAATGCGCCAGGATCCCATATGGGTGCCGGTTCTAATCCTGGCAGCTCCACTACCCATCCAGCTCCCTGCTTGTGGCTTGGGAAAGCAGTCAATGACGGTGCAAAGTCTTGGGACCCTGCACCTGCGTGGGAGACCTGGAAGAGGCTCCTGGCTTTAGATCAGCACAACTCTGGCTGTTGAGGTTACTTGGGAAGTGAATCATCAGATAGATCTTTCTCTCTGTCTTTCCTCCTCTCTCTATATATCTGACTTTGCAATTAAAAAAAAAGAAAGAAAGAAATGGTCCATGGCAGTGACTGTTAAGTAAGGAAAAAGTGTAGGGAGAATAGGATGTGGGGGCATGTGGAAAACCTTGTCCCTACTTGATGCCTTTAGGTGCTCCTTACCAACATTTCCTGGGCCTCTTCTACTAGAAAAAGACTATCAGCACGTTTCTTGCTCTATCCCTGATTTAAAGGGACCTCCGAGCCTCTCTATGGTCTCACTGGCGTTTATCATCCAGTGAGCACCTGAGCCCTGTGCTGAGGACGTGCCGCCACCCCCTCTCACCTGTCCAGCTGCTGGCCCTGGAGCCCAGAGGAAGCTAAACTGCTCCATGCCAAGGTCCTGGGAGGCAGCTTCTGCACTTGAAGCCTACAGTTTTGCAGCAAACAGCTCCTGCTGCTGCAGCTTATAACCTGCGCTCCTCTGAGAACCTGGACTCCACACCTGGTGCTCAGCTGGGCAGATGGGAGAGTCTCGGTTTTATACTTAGAATCTCTACCTGTGTGCCAGGCTGTGTTCCTGGTGGTTTTCCTGGGCACTCCCTTTCTGCATGGGAGATGCTGTTTGGTTCAGCCCAGGTCTCCTATGGGGGAAGGTGCTCTGGCCTGCCCCAGAAGTGCCCTATGGTCTCCCTTCTCTAAATCACTCTGTCTCCCTTACCAACCTGCAAGTGCAGTGGCTCAGTCCATGGAAGACCCCAGAAGTCATTCCTCTTCTTCCAGACTTAGTCTCAGCCACTCCTACTCCAGTATGTCCCCAGAACCCCTTCTCTGGGCAATCTGTATTCCCCTGCCTAGGGGCTAGGGTGGCATGCCCCAGCACAGTGTTCCCTGTCTTCCCCATATATCTTAAAAAAAAAAAAAAAAAAAAAAAAAAGAATAAGCAATATGCTGGCATACTGGTAGAGTTAACACAAAATTGACAGGCTCAGAATGCTCACCAGCTATTGGCTGCTGTTCTTCTAACAGTGTAATGCCTAGGTATAAGGCAACCTAGGCAGCTGCCTACAGCTGGGGTGGCCTTGGATGAGAATGTAAGTGGGGCAAGCAGGGCGGCAAGGAAATTAGTACAGTTTCTTTCAACTGTCAAAGCTTGAATCACTGAACACAAAGGAAGCCCAGACTCTGGCAATGGTAGTCCTTCAGCATGGAATTTATTCCAGGTCCCCCATGCGGATGCAGGATCCCGAGGTTTTGGGCCATCCTCTACTGCTTGCTTAGGCTGCAAGCAGGGAGCTGGATGGGGAAGTGGAGCAGCCGGGACATGAACCGGCACACATATGTATGGGATCCTGGATGGGATGTACAAGGCCAGGATTTAGCAACTAGTCTAGTCTGTCTCACCGGGCCTTGTTCTGGTGGATTTATTTATTTATTTATTTATTATTATTTTTTTAAGCTGATTGGTGTACACAGTGTCAGGTACTCTGCAGTGTTCCGGGCAGTGCCTGGCATATAGCCAGATCTCCACAGAGCTGCCAGTTGCCTAAAGTAAGGTTTACAGAAGAGAGGCCAGTAGGGCACCCCCACAATGGTGGTTCATTGGACAATGTGGCAGTCTGAAACATGACCAGTGTGGCGATAGTGGCATGGGCACAGCCAAGAGCAAATGCTGCAGATTCATTCATTATCACTGTGTACTCCTTCTGGAATGACAACGCCATCTGTGTGATGTGGCCCTGGGGCCTTGCAGGGAGGGACAGAGCTGGCTTGCCAGTGCTCAGGTGTCAGCCGCAAACTCACCCATCTGCCCTTTGCCCTTTGCTCCCGGTCCTGCACTTGGCCTTGGCTGACTCCATCCATAGGAGGGACAATGGTGCCCCAGGATCCAACCATCCTGTCTCCGGCACCAGAGGGCAGGCTGGAGAGTGGAGAAGGTGCTTCCCAGAGCCCAGAATGGACAACAGAGCTCGGCTGCTTCTTTCACACGCCTCTAGGGGGAACACTCACAGCTGAACTTTGCCGCTGGTCCCGGGTATTCTGGTGGGCACTGCTGGGACACTCCAAAGTGACCAGAAGAACCTGCCTTCGCTCCTCAGGTCCGGAGGACTGAAGTGAAACTCCAAAAGGCAATACGTCCGGGGTGAGCCGGCCAGCCCACGAGGCGCCGCCCCTGGGCCACGGACTTAGGACCAACTAGCCTCCCGGGAGGCGCGGCTGGGGCGGAGTCGCCGCGGGCCGGTCTCGCGTACTTCCCGGGATCCGGTCCGCCCGGACGGCTCAGCCATGGCCGGCAGGGCAGCAGAACCCGGGGCCAGAGTGCGGGCCTTAGCCCCGGACACCCCAGAGCTTGTCCACAACTACGGCTCGCTTAGCCTGCACGAGCTGAGGGCGCGCGAGTTCCGCCGTCTGGCAGGTGAGGCGGGCTGGAGGGCTGGCGGGCTCGGGGATTTGGAGAGCATGCAGTGTTGGGAACCGACGTGGAGGGCTCTGTACCCTGGGAAGCAGCAGTGCCACTTCGCTTGTGGTACATTTTGGGAGGAAAGATAGGAAGGGTCGTGTCCGCCAGGTGCGCACGGCGCCCTGGGCTCCCACCTGCATCTCTTCTTGCTCCTCAGACACTTCCCGCCCCCCGCCACCGTGGGGCAGGATCCACCCGTTCCCTTAGCAATTGTCTGCCATCCACGAACAAGACTCGCGGGGTTTCCCGACCGTCGCTTGCGCCGTAATCCTCTCAGCTCTAAAAAGTACGCCCGCAGCTGAGGTTACGAAATCCTGAGGTCGAGGGGCCGCGACTGCTGGGATGGCCGCCCCGAGACGGGAGCGCTGCGGAGGCGGCCGGCGCGGGGTGGGTCCACAAAGGCGGGGTCCTCCCAAGGCTGCGCTCCCACAGAGCTGGGAGAGCCCTGGGGTTTGCTTTGATTTTTTCCCACCCGAGTCAGAAGAGTGCAGCGGGGTGCTAAGCTCGCTGGGGAACTGGAAGAACTAGCCAACCATGCTAGCTTTAAGAACAGGGCGAGCCTGGCATTTGGACCCGAGGGCCAGGATCGCCGAGTGCCTTTGTGGCTAAACGGACCGGGCAGAAACCCAGCTCTATCCGGTTGTGACAGATCTTGGCTTGGTTGTTGCAGGTGCCCGGTGGTCGGGGTGGGGTAGCAGTGAAGTGGGCAGCCTCAGGGCGCCTGGAGTGCAGTGGGTGTGGTCTGGGCTGATGACCAAGGCCTGCTCGCCTAGTAGCTGATTTCGGCTCCTGTTTGCTGCACAAACTCTGTGCTTCCTTTTGGGCTTCCAGGACTGGGTCCTCCTCCCTGTGTGTTTCCTGTCTGCACGGTGGGGGAGAATACGGAAAGAGCCAAGGGCCTTCTGGGGGGCTCTCCACTCCCTCCCACACTTCCCTGTCTCGGGCCACCACCTGCTGGAAGTGGTCCCTCAGCTCCCTGGCCACCCGTACCCTCTCTCTCAAGCGTTTCTTATGAAAATTTCTCTCAATTCAGAAATAGCGACTTAGGTCGCACAGGTGTGGAGTGTGAGGAGGCCTGGAACCAAATTCCAGGGGCTGGATCACTGAGTCGGTGATTAATTCAGCACCATGCTTCCTTAATGCCCTTAATCCTCTCCAGCTCCGAGCCCTTGCACCTGCCACCACGGACCAACCTCTGCCCTCTACCCTACCCTGGGGAGCCAGTGGTGTTCTGGGTTCTGCCTGGTGTTCCCTCCCGTGCCAGGGTGGGATGTGACTGCTGGGATCCCACGCTGGCCTCGGAGCCCCTGGATGCCTACTGTGGGATAGTGCTGTGTGCACCCCCTTTAATCAGGGGCAGTTCTAGGGTTTCCTCTGCATCAAACTAAGCTCAAGTAGACTCATATGGACTGAGGGTACCAGCTCACTGCTGGGAGGCTTGGAACAGGTCCACATTTTTTTTTTCTTTCTCATGTAGCCAAATGAACCCAAGAGAGGGCAGGGAAAAACAAACAGACCAAGCCCAAATCAAAGATCTTCTCCCCCCTCCCATCCTGACATTTTTTTCTGCCAGTTTGACAACTTACCTAAGTGGTAGCCCTGGTGCTGAGCTGTTTGGCTTCACCAACTGTTTGGAGATTTCTTTGTGTCAGTGATGGGGGTGTGTTGAATTTACAGTTGTGCTGCCAGTGCTTCTGGCAGACTCCTGACCACCCACCCTGGGTGAAACTGGGCATGGCACAGAAGAGACCTTGGAGTCTACCTTCTTGAAATCGATCTGATGCCAATTAGATTGGGGGTAATTGCCCACATTCTAGTAAGAGCTAAACCTGTGGCATGCTGACCGGTGTGGGGCAGTGGGCTGGGTGCTGCCATGCACCCAGATGAATGCATCCCCTCTGCAGATGAAGGATGGGGTCCCAGGGGGTCAAAGATGGAGCCGGGATCTGAACAACTGAGAGCCTTGGCTTCTGCTCTGTTCATCCCTGCGCTCCCTGGCCTCAGCTCAGGCATCAGGCTCATCTGATGCAGCTGCTTGTTCTGCTACCCAGGTTGGCTGCTGGGATGGGACCAAAGGCAGCTCCAGGGTCTTGACTTCAGAGTGGTCCAGTTCTGGCCACTGCAGCCATTTAGGGAGTGAACCAGCAGATGGAAGGTGTCTCCTTTCTGTAAATCTTCTTTTCCAATAAAAATAAATCTTTTCTTTAAAAAAAGGAAATTTCATTATCCCAATGCAGGCCAGTTACGTTAAGCCCCACAGGTAACATTATACTTCAAGGTGAAACACTAAAGTCTGTCCCATGCCTCCACACGCTCACCACACCGGGTGAGATCTGCTGATCTGAGTAGACCCCAATGTGCATGTGTGTGTCTCTAGCAAAGAGAGGCAGGGTGGGAAGATCAGGTCCATTCCGTGTTCTCTGGAAGCCCCAGGATTGTCAAGCTGTGTGGGAAAACGGCCTCACCACTCCCCCATCAGGGATGTCACAGGGAACCTGTAGAGCAAGGTAATGAGTCACCCTGTGGTGCCTAGCTTTATAGTCACTCATCTCCCAAGCTGGCCAGGTGCCTCCTCCTAAGCGAGGTGAGAGGCGTGTTTATCAGGAAGTCTCTGGCTTCGGCTTTAACCTTGGGGCTCTCCCATTGCTCATGCCCACCCCGGGCTGCATGTAAAAGAACACAACAGAGAGGCTCCGGGAAGTGGGTGGAATGGCATTAGGACTAATTGTGCTGAATAGGTGTGGGGTGGACTTCTACAAGCAAGACTAGAACACCCAGGGAAAGCAACCTGTGGCTGTCTCCTCTGCTCTCTTTCAGGAACTGTCTACCTCGACCATGCGGGAGCCACGTTGTTTCCCCAGAGCCAGCTCACAAACTTCACTGAGGACCTCATGAACAACGTTTATGGTAAAGGCAACATCCAGTCTTCTGTCATTCATCTCCTTGCAGCTAATACCAGCTGTGAGAGTACCACAGTGCACAGAGCTCAGGCAAGCCCCAGGCTTGTCTGTGTCACACAGCAGTGGTCCGGAGTGTCCTGGTGACTTCCAGCAGAAGGAGTTGGTCTCGGGAAACATAGAAAAGGTCAAGTGGGCTGTGTTTGCTGGTGGTGAGTGGCTCTGTATAGGACAGAGGGGAGGGAGGCAGAAGTGGTATTTGTTCATTCATTCATTTACATGGTAAGTTAGAGAAAGATTTTCCTCCTCCTAGTTTATCTCCCAAATGGCCACAACAGCCATGGCTCTGAATCAGGACAAATCCAGGAGACAGGACATCCGTCTGGATCTCCTGCATGGGTTACAGAAGTCCAAGTACTTGGGCCATCTTCAGCTGCCTTCCCCAGAAGTATTAGCTGGAAACTAGATCAGAAGCAGAGCAGCTGGATCTTGAACCAGCCCTTCAATATGGTGTATGCAGACATTGTAAGCAGCTGCTTGACTCAGTCACTGTGCCACAATACCAGCCCATTCATAAACGTTTATTGACTTTCTGTGGGGCATGGGACACAAATGAGAACAAAATAATCACAGTCTCTTTCTTTGTGGAGGCTTTTGATCTAGTCTTGGAAGATAAGACTCTAATCAAGTGATCTCCAAATGAATGTCATTGCCAACTGTTCAGAGCTTTGAACAAAAGGTTCCCCCCGATTCCATGAATGTCTCCATCTGCGGAGTGACAGTGGGATTGGCAAGTGTGTGTATGTTGGGAGCACAGGGTGGTGGAGGATGAGCCACAATTCACTTGGAAGAGAAGGCGGGCAGCGGTGACAGCATGAGCCAGGAACCAGGGAGGTTTCAGCAACTAGCCTTTGTACACGGAGAGGGGAGAAATGTGGACCAGGATGGAGAGGGAAGTGGGGATAAGGGCCAGGATTTTTATTATTATTATTTTTTTACAAGATGTATTCATTTTTATTGGAAAGACAGATCATATTTATAGAGAGAAGGAAAGATAGAGAGAAAGTTCTCTCATCCATTGGTTCATTCCCCAAGTGGCTACAATGGCCAGAGCTGAGCTGATCCAAAACCAGGAGCCAGGAGCCTCCTCTGCGTCTGCCACACAGGTGCAGGGTCTCCAGGCTTTGGGCCATCCTCTACTGTTTTCCCAGGCCACCAGCAGGGAGCTGGAAGGGAAGTGGAGCGGCTGGTGCATGAACTGGTGTGCGTATGGGATCCCAGCGCTTGCAAGGTGAGGATTTAGTTATGAAGCCATCGACTCAGGCCCCAGAACTTTATTATTTATTTATTTTTAAAATATTCATTGACTGGGGCCAGTGTTGTAGCATAGCAAGTAAACCTGCTGCCTGTGATGCCAGTTTTTGTCCCAGCTGTTCCACATCTGATCCAGTTTCTGCTGATACACCCAGGAAAAGCAGCAGAAGATGGCCCAAGTATCTGGGCTCCTGCCACCCACCTGGGGAATCTGGAAGAAGCTCCTGGTGCCTTCCTGCCTGGCCAAGTCTTAACCTCTGTGGCTAGGCGTGGAGTGAACTAGCAGAGGGAAGATCTCTCTTTCTCTGTGTTTCTCCTTCCCTCTCTGTCACTCTTTTATTTATTTGTTTGAAAGGCAGAGTGACAGAGAGGGAGGAAGAGGAAAATCTTCCATTTGTGATTCACTCCCCACCTGGCCAAAAAATGGCCAGGGCAGGGTCAGGACAAAGCCAGAAGCCAAGAACTCTACCTGGGTCTCCCACATGGATAGCAGTGGTCCAAACACTTGGACCATCTTCCACTGTGTTCCAAATGCATTAGCAGGGAGTTGGATCAAAAGTGGAGCAGGCAGGACTGCTGTACCAGTGCTGATGCTGCAGGTGATGGGTTAGCTGGTGGTGTTGCCTGGAGCTCGATCCTTGCTCTGGGAACATGGGTTGTCACTGAGTGCATTAATGTGCAGCACTGCAGAGTCGGGAGATAGCTTTGGAAAGTAATAGTGACAGGAGCGGTTGCAGCGCTGCTGGTGGTAACACACAGATAAGGGGAGCGTCCTCGGTGTGGGTGAGATGGCTGTTCTGTGTGGTTTTCCTGTGCTGCTCTTTCCTCACAACTCTGTATGTTAGCAACCTGTGTTCCAGATGAGGACATCGCCAGCTTAAGGCTGTGCACTTAGTGGGTGCTGGAGCTGGAGGAGCTATGGCTGAGTCTCCAGAGCTCACGCCCCTAGGCCCTCACCAGAATGCCCCAGTGAGATGATGTCACAGCAAGGCATGTGTCACTTACCAGCAGGTCTTTAAATCCCAGGAACAGGGCCCACCAAAGTCCTCACCTTGAACGCACCGGGATCCCATATGGGCGCCGGTTCTAATCCCGGCAGCTCCACTTCCCATCCAGCTCCCTGCTTGTGGCCTGGGAAAGCAGTCGAGGACAGCCCAAAGCCTTGGGACTCTGCACCAGTGTGGGAAACCCAGAAGAAGTTCCTGGTTCCTGGCTTCGGATTGGCATAGCACTGGCTGTTGCGCTCACTTGGGGGGTGAATCATTGGACGGAAGATCTTCCTTTCTCTCTGTCTCTCCTCCTCTCTGTATATCTGACTTTGCAATAAAAATCAATCAATCAGTCAATCCCAGGAACAGTCTTCAAGGCAGGTGTTGGCCAAGGACTTTATCTGATTGTACTTGGTGATTTGCAGTTACTCCTCCTTCATCCTTTACAAGCGTGGTAACCCTGGGAAACGAGCTGGCCTGTAAGGTGGCCTCACAGAGGTGGAGGTGTTTCCTGGCAGTGCAGGGCCAGAGGCCATGAGGATTGGTACCAGGTTCTTCTGGGTGTGGAAAATCAACATATGGTAGCCAGAAAAGCAATGCGATCCTTCAATGGTCTTTTGGGAAGCAGAAGAAAAAGAAAAAAATGAGAAAAACCAAATCCTATCCCTACCTGCATTCCCCATCCCTGGCCCCAAATCCTGCATCACTGTGCACATGTGGCTCTGACCCTGAGAAATGCAGGTGCCTGGTCTCTGCAGGTCAGGCCTTTCAGCAGGTCTGTGGAGAATCCAGACACTCTGGGGCACCCGGTAGGGGAGGATGTCTTAAAGTCAGCCCAGAAAGAATGGACCTGGGGCGGGGGGGTGGCTTTCTCCCTACCCATGGGCAGCTGAGGAGGGACCTGCTGGCTCCCTTCATGTGTTGGGTTTCAGTAGGAATAGAGACAGGAGCAGTGGGGGGCATGGTCGGGTAACAGGCCTCGATCAAGTGGAGTTCACGGCTGAGTCTCAGGGTTGGAGCGAGGGGCAGCTGCCTAAGGATGTGTTCTGCCGTCTTATGTTCTATCATAGCACCCCTGGCACCTGTGGCCGACTAGCAGGTCTCTTGCTCTGGCTCGGCTGCTTCCAGGCCAACTACAGCTCTAGAATCCTCTACACTTATGGCAAGCACATAATTCAGTGATTTTTTAAAATTTTTTTTTGTAATTTTACTAAGTGGCACAACTATCATTATACATCAGAATGTCTTTTCTTCCTCCTGGTTTAATTCCCCATGCCCATCTGTCACTCCCAGCCCTGGACAACCATTGTCATACTCCTTCTGTTACTCTGTATAATGCCCTGTACTGGACATTTCCTGTAAATGGAATCAAACACTCTGTGGCCTCTTGTCTGGAGCCTCTTAGCCTATTTTTGAATCTGACTCATGATGTAATCAGCTATTGTTCCCCTATATTGCCACACAACTCTCCACTGTGTACTATTCTGTATACCCTGTCTGCTATTATATGGCTGTGCCGTGGTTTGTCTGTCTGTGCACCAGCTGATGACAGACATTTATGTCACTGCCTGCATTTGGTCATGCAAGCAAAGCTGCCAGTCCTTGTGTGGACATAGTGTCTTTTCTTCTGGAGATACCCAGGAGTGGAATTGCTGGGTCATGTGGTAGTTTTTGATTTAGCTTTTTTGAGAAATCAAAGGAAAAGGTTTTGAAGGAATGCAGAAATAGAAACTTGACATAGTAATGAGCTGGCTCTACTTTTGTAACCTGCCAGGTAACCCGCACAGTCAGAACATCAGCAGCAAGCTCACCCATGACACCGTGGAGCAGGTGCGCTACAGGTGAGTGAGGGGCCACCTGCCAGAGTGGGCCCCTGGGGTGGGGAGGCTTTCTTCCTGCCACCATCTGTGCCCCCTAAAGGCTGAGTTGGGTGCCAGAGGAGCCCATTTAAGGGAGATGGTTGTACCACAGTAAGCTTCAGGGTCAGGAGACAGGAAACTTGGGGTTGGGCAGTGGATGCAGAATAGGACAGACCAGAAGCACAGGCAGGAGGCTCTGATGTGTGTGGCTCAAGGCTTGTGCCAGAGGGGCAAGGAGGAACTCAGGCCCTGGATTTGCTTGCAGAAGGAAAGCAATGTTTCTCTGACTTTATTAGGCATCTTTTTGTTTATGTATTTCCCCCTTTCTGCTATTTGTACATTAAACAGCTCTTTGTACTTTCCTATGTTATAGTAATTTGTTTCTGGCAAATAATCTCAAGTGGTACCTAAAGTTCCTTGAAATAATGTAATTTCAAATTTAAAGTAATATGTTTTACTATAGGGTTGCCAATAGTTTATTAGAAAGGCAAATTTACAGAGAGAAGGAGGGAAAGAGAAAAATCTTTCATCTGCTAGTTCACTCCCCAAGTGGCTGTAATGGTCAAAGCTGAGCCGATCTGAAGCCAGGAGCCAGGAGCCTCCTCTGGGTCTTTTACGTGGGTGCTAGGTCCCAAGGCCTTGGGCCATCCTCCACTGCTTTTCCTAGTCCACCAGCATGGAGCTGGATGAGAAGTGAGGCAGCTGCAACATGAACTGGCACTCACATGGGATCCTGGAGTGTGCAAGGCAAGGATTTAGCCACTGAACATTGCACTGGGCCCGAAACATATATATTCTAATTAGTGTGTTTGAGAGACCAACACAGAGTGAGAGCGAAAGGGACAGAGACAGACAGTGTGGCTGAACCGGGCCAAGGTGAGAGCTGGAAACTCATTCCAGGTCCCTCCTAGGGGTGACACAGACCCAGTCACCTGAGCCCGTTACCATTGCCTCCCAGGATCTGCACTAGCAGAAGTTGTTGGAACACCAGAAGCAGGTATTGAATTTAAGCAGTCTGATATAGGACACAGGTGTCTCTATTGCTGCACCAAACACCCACCCTAGGGTGGCCACTGCTAAAGACAAGTTAAAACCCACAGATGACGCAAAACTTGTTACAATGGTGCTAGATAGAAAACCCAAAGAGATGCCATCTTTAACTGCAATTAGATTGCTATGAAGTTTTGCCCTACCCAGCCAAGGTGGGTTTTAGGAGGTGAAGTAACCTCCTGAAGTTTGAACTTGTTTAGCATCTCGTCCCATGAGTTTATCTACCCCTGCTCTCACCTCACAACTGTGGCGAAACCATTCTGGACTTGCCCCCCAGCTGTTGAAGTAGCTAGGTCCTTTTTCATAGCAGTGAAGTAACCCCTGGATGGGCAGCCGCCCGAGGCTGACTGCAGTGGTGGGTGGCTCTGTGCTTCCTCAGGATCCTGGCTCACTTCCACACCAGCCCGGAGGACTACAGCGTGATTTTCACTGCCGGCTGCACGGCCGCACTCAAGCTGGTGGCAGAGACATTTCCGTGGGAGTCCCAGGGCCCAGCGAGTGGTGGCAGTCACTTCTGCTACCTCACCGACAGTCACACATCTGTGGTGGGCATGAGAAAGGCAATCACAGCCGTGAACGTCACGTCTACCCCTGTCACACCCGAGGACTTGAGGGAGAGCTCTGCTGCAGTCAGTGACCCGGACTGCCAGCTCCCACACCTCTTCTGCTACCCGGCCCAGAGTAACTTTTCTGGAACTAGATACCCTCTGTGTTGGATAACAGAGGTCCAGGCTGGGCAGCGGTGCCCTGTGAACACTCCTGGGAAGTGGTTTGTGCTGCTGGACGCCGCCTGCTATGTGAGTACTTCGTCTCTGGACCTGTCGGCGCATCCGGCTGACTTTGTTCCCATCTCCTTCTACAAGATCTTTGGGTTCCCTACTGGCCTGGGCGCTCTGCTGGTCAGTAAACGTGTGGCTCCCTTGCTGCGGAAAACCTACTTTGGAGGAGGCACCGCGGCTGCCTACCTGGTTGGTGAGGACTTCTACATCCCAAGGCATTCGGTGGCAGAAAGGTAACTTCATTTTGGGCAGTTGCCCAGGCCTCTGGTTGGGTTGTATAAGCCATGAGTCTTGGGAGCTAGCTGTTGCTGGCAGGGACAGGCTGGTGGCCAGGTTCTGATCTGGGAAGGCAGGGATAGGCTAAAGCCATCTCACAGGTGGTTTGGGCACTTCTGCCCCCACCCCTCCTCCATCTGTGGGCTTCTCCCTGATGATTGTGGAACCAGGGCCTGCAGGTAAGAGCTGCAAGTAGTAGAAGCAAAAGGCCTTCTGGGCATTAAGGAGGGTGGACCACCTGGCTTTGGCCCTGCAGCATTGATGAGAGGTGGCAGCACTGGCAATGGGATTTCTTCAGCGTGGGACCCTGTGGAAGGAGTGGGCATACATGCTGGCAGTACAGCCAGTTCTCCAGGGGCTGGAATCAACTCAGCCTGGTACCCGGAGTGTCACAAGGGTTGATGACACTAGAGGTTCCCAGAGGTGTGGGCCTTGTTGGCATAGGCTCTGAGAGCCCATGGAGAGTGTGGTTCAAGGAAAGCGTGAGGGCCACCTGCCAGCTGCCCTCATGGGCCAGAGACCTTGGCCCTGGGCTTCTTGTGCTGTGCCTTTTCCTCGGCTGCAGGAGCAGGTGCTGTGGTTATGCTGGAGACTCTGTTGGAGAGTGGTGGCCAAGGCCTACAAGGTTGAAGGTGGGAGGGGCAGCTTTCCCTGGTTTTGTGGGAAATCACAGTGTGTGTGCGTGCGGGGGGGGGGCAACATAGGTTTGGGGGGGCAGACTAACCATGCCACTGATGCCTGGGAAGACCTGGGGTCTCCATGAGAATGTGGGTCAGACCCCACAGACCCAAGGATCCTCCAGGTAGGGCTGTGGCTTTAGCAGTGGAGTCAGCTGTTACTGGGTAGGCCTTGGGCTCTTCTGTTGGGAGTGGAGGCTGTCTGCCCCGCCTCCCCCCATTGAGGTGGCCTATGGCTGATCTCTGTGCACCTGTCACTTCCATCGCTGTAGAGCTTGTGTGGGTGAAGCAGCACCGAATGGTGGCTGTGTGTACTGAGAGGCTGTGCGATGGCTGTTTCATCTAGGATTTTTCCATAGCAGGGGCTTTCTGAAGCAGCAACATTAATGGAATGAGTGGGTTTACTTACCACGTGGTCTAACCCAGTGAGAAAACAATTACAGGCACAGCACCATGCAAATTAAAGGCAGGCCAAGAGGAGCGCTTTCATCTGGCCAACAAGGGCATCTGAAGGCCAAGAGAAGTGGGGCAGGTTGTTGGGAATCAGCATGTGGGTGAGCCTGGGCCCCCTCAGACCTCTTTCCTTTGACTGGCAGGGGCAGGCCATGGATCATTTTCCAACATATGCCAGGCCAAGATGCCCAGCAGGCAGAAAGTGGTGACTCACCAAGAGAATCCTGTTTTTTTTTTTTTTTTTCCTCCCCTCATGTGTATTTGTGACGGGAACTCAGGAGTTCTAATACCCAGTTCAGATGCTCACTAAAATCATACCTGGGTCATGAGTTATAAACATAACATGTGGCTAGCCAGCCACAAACACCTTTTCTAAGAGTTGGTTATGAGTAAATATTTATCAATAATCTGGTAACGTTTTAATGTATGATTGGCCAATAGGATCATTTACTGATTATATGTGAACTCAACTGTCAGTCAGCTTCTGAGATAAACAATGCTACCCAGGAGAGGATGCAGCACATACCTGGGGGAGGAGCTGCTTGTCATACAACAGTCTGCACACATGGTGGGGGCAGCAGGAGGCCAGGCACACAGGTACGCAAAGGGTGCCCCATGGGGCCAGGGGTTGCACAAGACCCCTCTGGCCACTGGTCACGCAGACTCCATACCGAGTTACTCAATCACTAATGCATGCACGTGGATCAATCATCACTTGGTTATTAGCAGCCTTTTCTCTGCTCCCCGACTCCTCCTCAGTGCCAGCTCTGGTGATTTTCCCCAAGAGGACTTAACCCTGGCCACCTTGTCCCACCCAAGGGCCGCCAGCCCTTTTGCTGACTGCTTTCTTGGCTCCTCTATGTGTGTTTGTTGCTTTTTGTGTCTTGTCTCACAGGCTGTAAGCACTCTGTCTACTGTAGCTTTAGCAGCTGGGACGGTGCCCTGCATCCAGTAGGTGGGCAGTCAAGATTTGCTGGCAACCCTGAACTAATTGTGAAATGCAGACATGACAATGCTTTGACAATCAGGAGGGTATGCATCTGTTGTGTTCCTGATACCTTTGTAATTTTCACCCAAGCCTGCCACAATTCCACAGGCTACAGGACCACAGACCAGCCAAGAATTTCAGAGCTGTCCACTTGAGCCCGCAGAGTGGTCAGTCAGTAGTGCCCTCTGGTAGTCAGAGGGCAGTATTTCAGATGCTATGGCACCTGAGGTTACAAGCCCTTTTGACGATTTCCTGGGGATGGCAAAGCATATCTTGTTGGCTTAGCTTCTCAAGGTGGGGGTTGTGTCTTGGGGCCCTTCAGGACCCACTGCTACCTGAGGAAGGTTGGAGCTGCAGAGCGGGTCAGGTCCAGAGGCAGGCAGTGTATCTGGTATGCTCAGCTCCTCTTCTGCAGGAGACAATGCTGTAAGGTCGCTGAGGAAAGCTATTGGCAGACTGTATTCAGCCTATAATCCAAGCCTCATTTTAGAGCACAAAACACACTTGGATTGTGTTGGTCAACCTTGACCTTGTTCCCTTCCTGCCACGGTCACAGATTTGAAGATGGCACCATCTCGTTTCTCGATGTGATTGCGGTAAAACATGGATTTGATGCCCTAGAGCGCCTCACAGGTCAGTGTATGTTTTTCTTCCTTAAGTTTTTGTTTATTTATTTGAAAGACAGAGACAGACAGAGACATCTGCTGTCTCATTCCAAAATACTGCTGCAGCTAGGCCCAGAGCCAGCGTCACAGAGCCTAATCTGGGTCTCCTAAATAGGTGACAGTGGCCCACCCACTTTGGTCCCTTATCTCCCTGGGTTGTGCATTAGCAGGTGGCTGGATCTGAGGCAGAGGAACCAGGACACCAACATAGATGCTCCAATATGGGATGCTGGCATCGTGGCTTAACCCACTGTGCCCATTGCCTGTTCCGTCAGTAGGCATTTTGTCCGTGTAGAATTTCCTCTTCATTTTTCTGGTTTTTTTTCCCTTGTAAAGATTTATGTAAAGATACACAAAATTGAAAAGATTATGTAAGGAAAGAAATTTCACACACATATATAGAGCTTTGGGAACACCCTTCCCTTCATTCCCCCCCTTCCTTTTTAAATGTTAATTTTTTTAAAAAGATTTATTTACTTATTTTTAATTGGAAAGTCATATTTCTAGATAGAAGGAGAGACAAAGATCTTCTCTCTGCTGGTTCACTCTCCTAGTGGTCGCAAGGACTGGAGTAGAGCCAATCTAAAGCCAGGAGCCAGGAGCTTCTTCCAGGTCTCCCATGTGTGTGCAGGGTCCCAAGGCCTTAGACCATTCTCTACTGCTTTCCTGGGCCACAAGTGGGGATCCGATTAGGAAGTGGAGCAGCTGCTGGGACAAGAACCAGTACAAGAACCAGCGGAGACAAGGCAAGGATTTAGCCACTAGGCTATCGTGCCGAGCCCAATTTTAATTTTCATTATTATTATTTACTGAAAGTCAGATATACAGAGGAAAACAGAGACAGAGAGGAAGATCTTCTGACTGATGATTCACTCCCCAAGTGACCGCAGTGGCTGGAGCAGAGCCGATCTAAAGCCAGGAGCCCAGAGCTTCTTCCACCAGGTCTCCCATGAGGGTGCATGGTCCCAAGGCTTTGGGCCTTGCTTGACTGCTTTCCTAGACCACAAGCAGGGGGCTGGATGGGAAACAGGGCCACCAGGATTAGAACTGGCACCCTTATGGGATCCTGGATGTGCAAGGCGAGGACTTTAGCCACTAAGCTACCGTGCCAGTTCCTAATTTTCATTTTTTTAAAAAGTGTTTTCTAACTATCTGCTGGTTCGTTTCCCACATGGTTCCAGTGCTTGGAGTTGAGCTGATCCAAAGCCAGGACTCAGGAGCTTCTTCCTGGCCTCTCACGTGGGAGCAGGAGCCCAAGGACTTGAGACTGCCTCCTACTGTCCTCCCAGGCCACAAGCAGGGAGCTGAAAGGGAAGTCGAGCAGCTTATTTTTAAATTTTATTTCCTACTTTTAAATTTTATTTTTTTGAAATCCAGAGGGAGAAAGGGAAGGAAAAAGGCAGGGAGGTAGGGAGGGAAGGAGGGGGAGAGAGAAAGAGAGAAGCAAAAGGAAAGAAATGTTCCCTCTGCAGATTTATTCCTTAAATGGCTGCAATGGCCAGAGCTGGGCCAGGTCAAAGGCAGAAGCCTGCAGTATCATCAGGGTATTCCATGTGGGTGCAGGGGCCCAAATACAGGGACCACTACTTTCCCAGTCACAGTAGCAAGGAGCTGGATCGGAAGTGGAGCAGCCAGGACTCAAACTGATGCCCACGTGGGCTTAACCCGCTGTACCACATACCAGCCCCCGCATTTGCTACTTTTAAGTACAAGTCACTGACAATAGTTCATGCTGTCAAGCAGCTGTCTTTCACTCTCCGTCACCGCTAACGGACACTCTGCCCTTCCTCACCTTTTCCTCCCTGCCAGGCCCAAGGGCCCTCCACCTGCTTTCCGTCTCTAAGAATCTGCTTCTTGCAGGTGCCTGCTGGAAGAGAACAGTGTCTATTCCTTTGCATCTGGCTTATTTCACAGGGCGTAATGTTCTCCAGGTTCAGCCAGGTGGAACCGTGAATTCATCCCGTGCTTTACTCCCCAGTGATCACACTGGCCAGGACCAAGTCAGGCAGAAGTCAGGAATTCCATCTGAGTCCCCTGAGTAGTGGACAGGAACCCAGATGTCTGGGCTGTCACCTGCTGCCTTCCAGGGGTATTAGCAGGAAGCTAAAAGGGCAGCATAGAGTAGCCTGGACCTTTACCTAGCAACCTGATACAGACTGTGGGCACTCCAAGCAGTGGCTTAGCCTCCTGTGCCACAATACCCACCACCGGATGATATATACTTTTTGCTACCTGTTGCCTTTAAATAGCTTTATGAAAGAAAAAGATGACAAGAATTTCTATGAGAAAAGCCCATAGAAGCAGCAATGGAGCCAGTGTTGAGCTCCAAAGGACTAAACATTTGTTGTTAGGGTATGCCATTCCATGTTTACAACATGTAGGATTCTTAGCACAGTATCTGGGGTGCCAGTTATAAGGAGTTTTGTTTTCTTTTTAAGGAGTTGAAAAATGTATTTGAGAGGCGTGTACATAACACAGTGTGGGGGTGAGCAAGCCCTCTAGTCTGTTGGTTCCCCACCAAAATGCCTGCAACTTGGAGGCCGAACCTGGGGCCCAGGCACTCCGTGGGACTCCCATGTGGCTGGCAGTGGCCCAGGTAGTTGAGCCATTCTCACGGCCTTCCATGGTCTGCATCCAACCCAGGCGCTCCGATGTGACTCGTGGGCCCCTTAAACCAGCAGCTTAGCTGCTAGGCCAAGGTCCCGGCCCCAAGCTTGTTTCTTAAAGGAGATTGGGTTTTGCGTCACTCCCATGGTGGTCTCTCTGCATTTCCTGATTGGTCTCCAGGTGGCATGGAGAATATAAAGCAACACACCTTCTCGCTGGCGCGGTATACCTACACTGCCCTGTCCTCGCTCCGGTACCCCAACGGAGCCCCCGTGGTGCGGCTCTACACTGACACGGAGTTCAGCAGCCCTGAGGTTCAGGGCCCAATCATCAACTTCAATGTGCTGGACGACCGTGGGAATGTCGTCGGCTATTCCCAGGTAGGTTTTTCTCTTCCTCGGGCTGTGCTTTTCACAGCAGAATGGCTCCCCGCTGGAGCTGGGTGCCTCTCCAGCCGGGACCCTGGGGCGCAAGGCCTCTGTGCTCTGGGAGCCGCTGTGGTAAAGCCCTGGCACGCCCAGGTCACCAGCAAGTGGCCTCACTTACAGCTATTTCTCTCAATTACTTCAAGTTCTCTTGCTGTGATTGTTACAAGGGGACTTTCAAAGGTTGATGGGAAAGTGGGAATGGAAAGAGAAGCTTTGCTGTGGGCATCTGGTGCAGCGGGACCCGCATTTCCTATTCTGGAGTGTCTGGGTTCAGGTCAGCTTTGCTTTCCACTTGCTAAGCCTGGGAGGCAGCAGGTGACCCAGATGCACCTCTTTCTCTCTTTCTCTCTCCTTTAAATAAAAGCAAACATTTTAAATAGATAGGTTTCCTTTTTTATTTTGAAATCTATGTGCTGGTTTTTTTTTTTTTTTTAAGATTTATTTTAGTTTCGGAAAGTCAGATTTACAGAGAAGGAAAAACAGAAAGATGTTCATCTGCTGGTTCTCTCCCCAAATGGCCACACTGCCAGAGCTGAGCTGATCCAAAGCCAGAAGCCAGGAGCTTCTTCCGGGTCTCCCATGTGGGTGCAGGATCCCAAGGCCTTCAGTTGTCTTTGGCTGCTTTCTCAGGCCACAAGCAGGGAGCTGAAAGGGAAGTGGGGCAGCTGAGACAAGAACTGGCACCCATATGGGATCCCAGCAGATGCAAGGCAAGGACCTTAGCCACAAGGTTATTGTGCCAGACCCTCCTTTAAGACTTCAAAGAATTGGGGCTGGTGCTATAGTGTAGTGGTTAAAGTCCTCGCCTTAAATGCACCAGGATCCCACATAGGCATTGGTCTAATTCTGGCGGTTCCATTTCCCATCCATGTGCTGGTTTTTTATAATGTACATTTTTCTTTTTTTTTAAAGATTTATTTTTATTATTTTTTCATTGGAAAGGCGGATATACAGAGAGGAGAGACAGAGAGGAAGATCTTCCATCCGATGATTCACTCCCCAAGTGAGCGCAACGGGCCGATACTATGCCGATCCGAAGCCAGGAGCCTCTTCCGGGTCTCCCACGCGGGTGCAGGGTCCCAAAGCTTTGGGCCGTCCTCGACTGCTTTCCCAGGCCACAGGCAGGGAGCTGGAAGGGAAGCGGGGCTGCCGGGATTAGAACCGGCGCCCATATGGGATCCCGGGCGTGCAAGGCGAGGACTTAACCACTTGCGCCACCGCGCCGGGCCCATAATGTACATTTTTCATGAAGTCTGGGAAAACCTCATGTATGGAAAATAATCCACTGTTTAATTTTTCAAGTGCCCCCAAGTGGCCAGGTCTGGGACTGCAATCCAGGTTTCCCTTCTCGGCGACCACCACGCTGAAAGTCCTGCTAGCTGAACAGTCACGGCCGCCCCCCAGGGTCTGCATCTGCAGGACGCTGGAGTGAGGAGCCCGGGACTCAGTGTGGGACACAGGGATCTGAACTGCTAGGCTCAAGACTCACCTCAGAGTTCCAGTGTCTCTGCAGCAAAATAAATGTTATCTTTTACTCACCTTTCCCATGAATTTTTTGCAATGCCCTCATGTTTTATTTAGCCTTCTTGACTCAGCCAGGGGCTATTTCACAGCACCCTCCCTTGAAGGCAGGCTGCCACCTGTTCATTTCCACTGCTGTAAGAATAATCAGTCTTGCTCTCTCCCTCTGTCCCTCTCTCTCGTTGAGTCAGCAGGTCCATTCCTGTTTTCTTGAAACACCCCAAGTTGCTCTGGGTGTTTAGGCACCCATGGTCTCAGGGGGCTCATGGTCCTGGCCAGGGTCACCCCTTAATCCTGTCTGCATTCTCCCCCCCCCCCCCACTGAGCTGGTCCCACCTCCTCTGAGCAGCACATGCTATTGGCTGTTGGTTTGTGGAAATGCGGTCTTTATAATTTTGAGAAATGTTCCATCTACAGCTAATTTGTAGGGAGTTTTCTTTTATCATGAGAGTTGAATCATACCTCACTCAGAGTTGTTCTTTCACTTATTTGAAGTTCTATTCACTGTCATGATCTTATCAAATGCTTTCTCTCTGCGTCTATGGAGCTATGTGGTTCTTGTTATTCATTCTATTGATGGATTTATGATGTTTATTGATTTGTTAATACTGAACCACCCTTGCATTTATAGGATAGATCACCCTTGATCATAAAGTTTGATATTTTTTTGACGTGGTTTTAGTTGAGCATCTTTGCATCAGTGTTTGCTTGACCTAATCTTGATAAGGTATAGGAATCCATTTGTTTGAGGCTGCACAGTTTATTAGTGTTTAGTTCTTCATGGTAGTTTATGATCTTTTGTATTTCAGTTGTAGTATCTTTGTTTTTATCTCTACTTGTATTTGTTTGAAATTTTCCTCTTTTTTGCTTTGCAATTTGGCTAGAAGTTTCAGTTTTATTTTCTCAAAAAGCCAACTTTTTCTTTCTTGATTTTTTTTTTTAGTTTCAATTTCGTTTATTTCTGTGCTGATTTTTATTATTTCTTTTTCTTCTGTTAATTTTGAGTTTTCCTTTTAAAGATTTCTTTATTTTTACTGGAAAGGAAAATATACAGAGAGAATGATGTTGCATCTGCTGGTGCACTCCCCAAATGGCCACAATGGCAGGAGTTGACCCAATCCAAAGCCAGGGGCCAGGAGCTTCTTCCAGGTCCCCCTTGCGGGCACAGGGTCCCAAGGCTCTGGGCCATTCTCCGCTGCCTTCCCAGGCTATCATCAGGGAGCTGGATCAGAAGTGGAGCAGCTGGGACATGAGCCAGTGCCCACATGGGATGCTGGCACTTGCAGGTGGAGGATTAGCCGGTTGAGTCATTGTGCAAGCTCTTACTATTTTTTTTCCCAAGTCTTCAATGTCTTTGAGACATTTTTCTTTTTTTAATGTAAGTATTTAATGCTATTAACTTCCCTCTTAATACTGTTTTTGCTGTATACCATAAGTTTTGATATGTTGTGGATTAATTTTCATTTACTTCAAGAAATTTTAAAAATTCCTTTTTAATTTCTTTAATGATCCAATTATCACTCAATAGCATGTTTTTAGATTTCAAAGTATTTATGAGTGTTCTGTTTTTCTTCTTGTTGATTTCTTGTTTTATTTCTTTATGTTGTAAGATGATACATGGTATGATTTCAATCCTTTTAAATTTGCTGAGATTTGATTTGTGTCCTAATATGTGGTCTACTCTAGAAATTGATCTGTGAGAAAGAAAATGTGTATCAGGGTTGGCACGGTAGCCTAGTGGCTAAAGTCCTTGCCTTGAGTGCTCCGGGATCCCGTATGGGCACTCGTTCTAATCCTGGCAGCCCCCTTCCCGTCCAGCTACCTGCTCGTGGCTTGGGAAAGCAGTCAAAGACAGCTCAAAGCCTTGGGACCCTGCACCTGTGTGAGAGACCCGGAAGAAGTTCTGGGCTTCTCGCTTTTGATCTGCACAGCACCGGCCGTTGGCGACCACTAGGGGAGTGAACCAGCGGATGGAAGATCTTCCTATCTGTCTCTCCTCCTCTCTGTATATCTGACTTATCAATAATAAAAATAAAAATAAAAGTAAAAGTAAAAATAAAAAGGATGTGTAACTTGTAGCTTTTGGGAGAAGTGTCCTATAAATGCCTCTTAGATCCATTTCTACCTCCTGGAACCAGCAGAGGGCAGGCAAGAGCCTTGAAAACTTGAGATTGTGTAATTGAACCCAAAGTTGGGGGGACTGAGGCAAAGCAAGCACCTCACATCATCACAGGAATGCTTGTTGTCAGGCTGCCATGGGCCTGCCTGGCATAGTTCCTGGCTGGAGCCTGCTCTGGGAGGGCCGCAGCTCCACGGAAATATCTTGTGAACTGGGCTGGAAACCTGGGGTCTCCGAAATTGAATTTGTTCTTTGCACATTTCTGAAGCCTACTTCTGTAATCCAAACACTGACCTGAAACTCCTCCCCTACAAGGCAGAGTAAATTGGACATCAGTAACCCTGGCTCATGTCCCATTTAATCCACAGGTCGACAAAATGGCATGTCTTCATAACATCCACCTGCGAACTGGCTGCTTCTGTAACACAGGGGCCTGCCAGAGGCACCTGCAGATAAGCAACAACATGGTCAAGAAGCATCATCAGGTGGGTTCAGGGCACTGTGGCCCAGGCACTGGCCTGCATGGCCCTGGCCAGCACCTTTTGTTGTGCTTGTGGTGGGTCCTGAGTCTGGCATGGGGGCTGGTGCTGTAGACTCATTTTTGAGGGCATTCTGTGGATGTATGAAACAAAACAAGGGTCAACAAAACCAGAAAATAGGATACTATCTCTATGGCAGTGCTTTCTGAGCCAGTTCTTCCTTTGGGGGCAGAAATATTAGGGTAGAGAGGGGTTTAACTAGGGAGGTGTTATATCTGCACTTCTAGTTCCCCCAGAGTATCACCTGTATGCTAGAGTTGGCCTCCTCTGCATTGGAGTGGCATGGAACCTTCTGGGGTTGAAGAATTTTGTGTCTCCCTGGATCCTCCCTCCCTAGCTTTCCTTTGGGCCTGAGGTTTCTAACTTTGGGCATGGGGAGTGTCATTTCATAAGAGTAGCTTGAATGTCACAGAGCCCTGATTTACTTTGGGATCGTTTGTAATTTGAGTTTGCTTGGGTTGCTACTGAAGATTGCATACACCAGATCCTAACTAACTGTTAGCTGGGGATTACTGAGAAGGAGAGAGAAGAAAAGGGAGAGAGAGAAGGAGAGGGAGGGGGGAACAGAGCACACGGGAAGAGGGGAGAGAGGCTCAGAGCCCAGAGAATGGTGGTTCTAGACCTAATATTTGACCCTGTGGAATGCCACAGCACCATGTCTCTGGGCCATTGGTCTGGACCCAGGGAGATTTCCGGGAAGCCTAATGCACCAGGTTGACCAGTGCCCAACACCGGGCAGCTGGGCTAGGAGACCATCTGCCTTTTGTCCCTGCTGCTGGCTGAGACTCCTGGGCTGGCTGGCTTCACGGCAGGGACCTAGGCTGCTTGCTTTGCAAGCTCCTCTGTCCTCCACTCCTTCTTGAAAGGGCAGCTCTGTAGGCCTCCTGTCAATCCTGAGGGAGGCTCATGGGGGCCAGCAGATATCTGTTCCGCTTTAGCTCTGGTAGGCATAAGCTGGTACCTGCATGGGCCAGCACTGTGCTGAGTGCTGGCTTAACAATAGCCATGAAGTGTTTCTGCCCAAAACTTTCACGGCGCCATGAAGTTGGGTGGTTCCATTTAAGCTCTGAGCAGACTGAGGCCCTGAAAGCAGGTTTCTGAGCGCACAGAACTGAAGGCTGTCTCAGACACACAGCTGTGGATTACTTTACTCTATTTTTACTTATCTGTCTATTTGAGGGTGGGAAGGAGAAAGTAAGGTGGGGGGAGAGATGGGGGGAAGAGAGGGAGGGAGGGAGGGAGGAAGAGAGAGAGAGAAAGAGAGAGAGAGAGAGAAAGGGAAGAAAAGGGGAAAAGAAGAGGGACAGGGAGGGAGTGATTGAGCCCATCTGCTGGCTGACTCCCCGAGTGCCCATGATGACGCAGGCTGCGCTGCAGCTGAAGCTAGGATCTCAAGAACTTGAGCCATGACCACTTCCTGCTGGGGTCTGCCTTAACAGAAGGATGGAGTTGGGAGCCAGAGGCAGGTGCTGAACGGTTCCTGTTGATGTAGGATGCTGGCGGTACTAGTGTCTTAACCAGTATTACTGTACTTCACTACTATTAATTTCTTAAAATTCTTTTATTTTGGTAATCTTTACATAGTTGATGAGGGCACAAAGGGTCAAGGGCTACAGGAATGTGTGGGTAAGACCATTGTTTCCACATTAATATTTTTTTTTCCTGTATCCAGGGTAAGGGAAGAGATAAGGGGAAAAGCTCCACCCACTACTATTAATTTTAAAATTAATACAGTTTGCCTTGCGACATGCATCCCTCTGGCTGATCTGTGTCCCCTGTATTTTAGGCTGGCCATGTCTGCGGGGATGACGTGGACCTCATCGATGGGCAGCCGACAGGCTCCGTGAGGATCTCGTTTGGTTACATGTCCACGCTGGAGGATGCCCAGGCCTTGCTCAGCTTCATCACGGCCACCTGGCTGCACTCATCCAAGGGCCACCCTGCCCGTGTGGCCGCACCACTAGGGGTGCAGGATGTGGCGATGGTCCAGGAGGGATGTGACCTTTCTCCTCAGGAAGGCTCCCTCCCCGACTCCCGGCTTCCGATGGACCCGGCCACCCCTGTGAGCGTCCTGGGCCCATCCTCGGCTGAGGCCGGGCCGGCCCTGCAGACGCCTTCAGAAGGAGCGGCGGGAGTGCCTGATGGGGGCTTGGGGACACATGTTGTCACCAACATTTACCTCTACCCCATTAAATCCTGTGCTGCGTTTGAGGTAAGGACTTTCTCTTTGTTTCCCACTAGAATAGCCATCTTTATTTGTAAAAATGCAGAAATAATATATGTTATTTCGGTCCTTCTAGATTCTCTTTTTTTACAAAAACAAAAAGGCACAGAACAACTTTCTCGTTGTCTTTTTTTTTTCAGCTCTCTCTGCTGCCCCCTTCAGTTAGCTGCTAGTCATTGCCTGAACTGAAACAAATCCCTTTTCCTGGAGTGGTCATTTAGCCTAGCGGTTAAGATGCCCACATTGAAACTTGGAGTGCCAGGGGGCATTCTTGGCTGGTCTACTGACTACAGCTTCCTGTCCACGCAGACCCTCGGTGGCATTAGTTAACGACTGGATCTGGTGATTGCGTGCCTGCCACCCACATGGGAGGCCCGGACTCGGGTTCCTGGCTGCTGGGGTTGGCCTGGTGTGCAGCCCCAGGCACTGTAGCTTCCTCTTGCACATCTGTCCCTGCACTCCACAGCCCCTCCTTCCCACTGTCCATGGGGCCTCAGTCTTTCCTGCCTTCCTTCACTGGAAGACCCATCTAAGTTTGCACCCACTCTCTCCACAAGAGGATGCCTTAAGTAGTAACTGCCTTTTTGATCACATTTCCAGCTAAAGCGTTCAGATTCCTGTGGGTAGGCAGACCAAGCGCTCAGAGCAAAATAGCAAGAGAATGAAATAGAATCTCAGTTACTTTGAAAGTCATGCTGTCCTAACCATCCCCAAATCTTTTCAGTCTTTGCCGAGCAGACGACTGGCTAGGGAAGGAAGAATCCTCATGGAGGGGATGCTGCACCAGCCTTAGTGCCCGCAGGTGCTGTTGATTAATCTACGGACAAGGACACTTGCCCAAGGCCTGAGCGCCATAGGCAGAAGGGGTCTTTCTAGGTTAGAGATGACTATGAACTTGCTAATATGAGGATTCACTGAAGAAATGAAGGCGGTGGAAGAAGAGCTGGTGGAGTAAGAGTTTAGGAAAGAAGTAGAAAGGGACAATATAACACTTAACAGAAATGTAACCCCTGATTGGTCATCTCCATCCAACCTCCCCTACCACCTCCCCGTGGCTCAGGGAAATCACGGCCAGTTCCTGGAGCCGATGGAGTGGCTCAGCACCCCTGTCTTTCCTCAGTCTTGGCTTTGCTCCTCTTGGGGGCCTGGGTTCTGGAAAGACATATACACAGAGAGAGGGAGATGCAGAGAGAAAAATCTTCTGTTCACTGGTTCATTCCCCAAGTGGCCGTGAAGGCTGGAGTTGAGCTGATTTGAAGCCAGGAGCCGGGAGCCTCTTCCAGGTCTCCCATGTGGGTGCAGGGTCCCAAAGCTTTGGACTGTCCTCTGCTGCTTTCCCAGGCCACAAGTAGGGAGCTGGATGGGAAGTGGAGCAGCCAGGTACTTTCTGGTGCCCATATGGGATCCTATGTGTGCGAGGTGAGGACTTTAGCTACCAGGCTGCTGTGCCAGGCCCTCACACTGTATTATTCTTATTATCTTGTATTATTCCAGACTTGTCCAACTGCCAAGCTTTCCATTGCTTTCTGCATCCCTGTGAACTACTGCTAAAGTGTCTTCTGAGTTCTTCCTCATTTCCCGGCATGGCAAGCTGCTTGTGGCTTCCCAAGCCTGCTCCCTGCTACAGCCATCAGAGCAGTGATTTCCCCAAAGATTTCCAGTCCTTTTTCACTGATGGAAGGTGTTAGAAAGCATGAGCCAGGCACTGGGTGTGATTAGCATTAGTTTTGTAGAAATACAAGGCATTCAGAAATTGTACATGCTTAGAGTGGATCAGCGAGCTCAGTAGCCATCCTAGGGCAGCCCCAGTTTGTGCAGAGGTGTGTCTGTGCTGTGAAGCTGTGCCTGGCAGGAGCCTCACTGCTGGGCTGGCTGCGGTCAATGGGGAGAGAGCCAGCAGAGGTTTATTTACCTCCTGGAGATGCCCTCTAGTGTGCTCTGAAGGGATGCAAGGTGCAAGACTTCCCCACTCCAAGCCCAGGCTGCAGTGGAGGAGGGCAGAGAGGGGACCTCCAGGCTCAGTGGAACCTTGCTCCCACTATCTCCTTTGCTTTGCTTTCTTGGTTTCCTCTCTTCCCCTCCTCCTCTTCTTCCTTCAAGAGCATCTGCTGAACGAATGAAGTCCATTGGCACAGTCTTTTGTGGAGGAGCCCTGCCCTCAGCTGCACCTGTTTTTCTGTCTAGGTGACCAGCTGGCCTATAGGAAAGCAAGGGTTGCTGTACGACCGGAGCTGGATGGTTGTGAACCACAATGGCATTTGTCTCAGTCAGAAGCAGGAGCCCCGGCTCTGCCTGATCCAGCCCTGCATTGACCTGAAGCAAAGGATCATGGTCATCAAGGCCAAAGGTACAAAAATGACACTCTCGGAGGGCAGTTCAGAGTCCTTTTATCTCATGTAATCATAAATCATGGATTTTGTTCTACAAAAGATTGAAGTAGTCCTGAAGTAACTGATATGATTGGGGAAGATGACAGCAGTTTGTTTCCAAGTTGTTTTAGGGAAATTTCTGGCAAAACAGTAATGGTCTGATGGTTCAGTCAGAAAGTAAAGAGATATAAACTTTGGGGCCTGGTGCAGTAACCTAGCAGCTAATCCTCATCTTGAACACTCCAGGATCCCATATGGGCAGCGGTTCTAATCCCGGTGGCCTCAATTCCCATCCAGCTCCCTGCTTGTGGCCTGGGAAAGCAGTCGAGGGCGGCCCAAAGCTTGGGATCCTGCACCCGCATGGGAGACCCAGAGGAGGCTTCTGGCTTTGGATCAGCTCAGCTCCAGCCTTTGCGGCCACTTGGGGAGTGAATCAGCAGACAGAAGATCTTTCTCTGTCTCTCTTCCTCTCTTTGTATAGCTATCTTTCCAATAAAACTAAATAAACCTTAAAAGAAGAGAGATATAAACTTTGAAATCATATAATGGCCTTTTCTTCTTGCTTTTTTTTTTTTTTTTAAATTTCCTTCCTTCACCATAATATGTATGGCAGGCCTTAAGTCTTCCTTGCTGGTTTTTATTATGAGTTGTCTAATGTGCAGATAGAAAACTGTGCAGCTATCTCAAAAAGTTCATGGAAGATGTGTATTATGAAAAAAGCTATGCCTGGGTTTTATTTATTTTTTGGTCCCCAAATAAATTTCCTTCATTTGTATTTTTCTGTAAAATTTTTGATGTACCAGTTCTGCCCAATAGAGCTTTTTCTGATAGTGGGAATATTCAGTGTCCACACTGTCCAGGTTGGTAGCTCCCAGCCACGTGGCAGCTGTTGAGCACTTAAACTGTGGCAGTGGGACACTGGAAGTGAATGGTTGTGTTGCATTTGCAGTCCTGTGAATAGTGGCCAGTGGCTACGGTGTTAGCACAGGTGTAGAGGATGTTAAGAGTGTGATGCATGAGGGTAGCATCCTATTCTGGGTACAGTTGGATAGATACATATAGAGAGTGCTGCCATCTGCTGGTTCACACCCCAAATGGCGGTAACAGCAAGAGCTGAGCTGGTATGTAACTTCTTTTTTAATATAATTAATCTTTTATTTGAAAGGCAGGGGCTGGGCACAATAACTTAGTGGCTACATCCTTACCTTGCATGTGCTAGGATCCCGTATGGCTATTGGTTTGTGTCCCAACTGTCCTACTTCCCATCCAGCCCCCTGCTTGTGGCCAGGGGAAGCAGTCAAGGATGGCCCCAAGCCTTGGGACCCTGCACCCATGTGGGAGACCCGGAAGAAGCTCCAGTCTCCTGGGTCAGATTGGCTCAGGTCCAGCCATTGTGGCCGCTTGTGGAGTGATCAGCAGAGGAAGGATCTTTGTTTCTCCGGATCTCTGTAAATCTGCCTTTCCAATAAAAATAAATAAATCTTAAATTTGAAAGGTAGATTTACAGAGAAATGGAGAGAAAGATCTTCCACCCACTGGTTCACCCCCAAATGGCCATTGCCCTTTCCCTGCTTGAGTGAAGCTGGGAACTACAAGCTGTCCTGTTGTTTGCCCTCTGCTCTGCTGGAGGCAGGGACAAGTGTCACAGATTTCCCTGTGGGCTTCCTGAGTCTGCTTTTATCTTCTGCTGAGAGTCGGTGGGCAGACGTCTTCTACTTAGCTTGTAGTTTCCAATGTCACCTCCAAATAACAATCACTTTGAACCACCCTTTTCCATTTTTATTGCTTTACCCTTTTTTCTTTTTTGTCTTTTTTTCTTATATATTTCTTCTTCCTTTAAAATTTTTTTCTTTTGTTTTTTATGTGTTTTTTCTTTTTTCATTTTTAATTTATTTTTATTTTTCTACTTTCTTGTTTATTTGCCCTTCTTCCACATGATTACATTTTCTCGTCATTCTAATATAATGGATAGAACTGCAATGGGAGAAACCTTCACTACTGATTTATGGGATGCTTCCAAGTCTTCAAAAATAAGAATGATGTTTGCTATAGGTTTTTTTTTTTTGATAGATTTATCAAGCTAATGTGGTTCCTGTTTTTACCAAAAGCATTGTCTTAAGTAACAGTCAGTTCTTACTGAGTATTTTTTCTGCAACTGTTGATCTTTCTTCTCCCATAGTTTACTAATGTGATGCGTTATAATGATAGATTTTCTGTAATGTAATGGAACTAATCCTGCTCCCCAAAATACTATTTAGCAATGGCTTTGATTTACTAATAGCTTGTATTTTTCTATCTGTTTTTAATAGGGGTTTGCATTTACAATCTTTTTTTGCTCCTAAGATTTATTTATTTTTATTTGAAAGGCAGATTTATGGAGAGAAAGAACACACACACACACAGATTGAGAGAAATCAAGAGAGATCTTTCATCCACTGATTCACTCCCCAAATGACTGCAGTGGCTAAAGCTGGGCTGGTCTGAAGCCAGGAGCCTGGAGCTTCTCCATCTCACAGGAGGCTGCAGGAAGCCAAGGAGTTGGGCCATCCTCTGCTGCTTTCCCAGGCACATAACAGGGAGCTGAATCAGAAGGAGAATAGCTGGGACTCCAACTGGTGCCTATATGGAATGCTGGACTGAAATCAGCACCCCTGATGCCTCAGGCGGAGGCTTAACTTACAGTGCTGCACACAGGCGCCCATATAAACTTGTTATACAGTACTGTTCTTGTTGAAGTTCAGATATCCAGGAACTTAATATGTTATGTGGAACTGTTACATATGTGTGTTTTGTATTTCTTTATACTAAAGAATTTAAATGTAACTCAGGGAACAGTGACCTCAGGATGTACTTATTCCTAGGTAGAAAAATCAGAGGAATTAATTGAATGCGCAGGGACTGTAGGTGTGTTTGTCCCAGTGCAAGGTGTATTGTGAGAGAGCTGTGCGAGGCCGACGCTGTCGGTGGTGCCAAGGATGATGAAGGACAGCTCCATGTGTTATAAAAACAATTCTGAAAGTCAGCTGTCTACTCGGTCCAACCAAATGCCAGCATGCTTGAGCTGCTCGGACACTTCATAGCCTGGTGGTGAATTTCTGTCTACTCTTTCTCACCAGGGATGGAACCTATCGAGGTGCCCCTGGAGGAGAACAGTGAACAGGGTCGGATTTGCCAGAGCAAGGTCTGTGCTGACAGGTGAGATGCCAAGGCGGGAGACAAGCATGCCCCGCTGCCTGGGTGCCCAGGGAGAGAAGAGCCGGGCCTTGTCTGCTCCATCCTCTGCTGCACCCTCCATTTCCCTGCTGCACTTTCTGCTCTGTCCGTATGGACTCTGTTTTCCAAGTCCACCAAACACATACATTTCTCGCATTTTGGCCCTCGCTGTTTCCTCTGCCTGAACTCTCTTACTTAGCTCTCCAATGGACTCATTCCCTCTCCTCTGTCAGTTCCACCTTCATCAGGTTTGCTCAAAACTCTCAGAGAGCTGGCCAGCCACCCACAAACACCCGCTCGCTCCACCCCCATGTCCCCATTGACTCTGTTGTGCTTCTTTGCATTCATTATTATTCCCAACATTGCTATATGTGTTTGTTTATCTTTAGTTTTCCAGCTTGACCACCTGTGTTCTACCTGCAGGGCTTGCAAACAGGCCAGGGGCAGAGTTTGGGGTGGGAGGACAGGCTAGCTGGGGAAATGGTTGGAAGGAGGCAAAGAGTGGCTGCTGGTCATAGTTGGAAGGGGTTAGGGATGCAAGTGGGAGGGCCGTCTGATCCCCCATGGTAGCAGGAGGCAGGATTACCAGGTGAGCTAAGTGGAGCATGATCGGGGAGAAGAATCAGGCAGGTGTCAGATACATCTTCTGGCTATACAACAACCCGGACTGGCTAACAGGTTGGATGAAGAGGCTGAAGGTGAGGGGATGTCAAGGCTTTTCAAGTGTAGCTTTCAAGTGACAACTCAAAATAATGTTTCAGCTAGTTGTAGATTGTTTCCCAGTCTGGGTTGTTGATAAACCCTTTGGTAAATTCTAGAAAATGAAAAGTTGTCACACGTAATAGCATTTCTGTTTTATTTCTTGGTCACACATTGTTTATCAATTTGTCCCTTGTTATCTAAATCTGAACATAGGGAAGATACAATTTCCCAATTATGGGAAATCTATTGTGTCTATTACTTCTGCCAGCTTCCCCCTCACACACTAAGTGTTCAAAATACCAGGCCACTTAAGATGTGCATGTAGTTGCCCATTGGTCAATGCCATGAACGAATTGCTGGGGAAGATCTGTGCTCACTGGACACCACATTGCCTGATATCACAGCACATTGCATTTTCTTTTGCCCTGCCTTGAGCAAGAGAGTCATATGTGTCATGATGTGATGTGTTACATGTGAAGGGAGCATCCATCCCAATGGGTGCCAGGCAGGGGATCCCTTTAGGATCCTGAGAGGTTACACCTCAGGATACGGTGCCAGGCTGATGGTGTGAGGACTATGCTTGGCATGGCTGAGCTTTTTGGGTAATGTTGGCCAAAGAGCTGAGCACTTCCTATGTCTTTTCGCCAAGATATGCACAGATTAAACTGTCACATTATAGTAAACATTTTAATGATGGCACATTTTCTTTTTTTAAAAGATTTACTTAATTTTTTCTTGGAAAGTCAGATACGCAGAGAGTAGGAGAGAGAGGAAGGAAGATCTTCTGTCTGTTGATTCACTCCCCTCAAGCAACAGCAATGGCTAGAGCTGAGCCAATCCGAAGCCAGGAGCCCGGTGCTTCTTCTGGGTCTCCCACACAGGTGCAGGGTCTCAAGACTTTGGTCCATCCTCAAGTGCTTTCCCAGTCCACAAGCAGGGAGCTGGATGGGAAGCAGAGCTGTCGGGATTAGAACTGGTGCCCATATGGGATCTTGGTGCATGCAAGGCGAGGACCCTAGCCTCTAGGCTACCATGCTGGGCCCAATGGCACATTTTCAATTAGGATAAAGGATTTGGGGTGGACATCTTTGCATGTTGCTGGAGCCAGTCTTCTGACAAAAATATAGCCATGTAGGAATACATACAGTTGTTTCTCGGACTCCTCCTCAGCTGTCCCTTTCACTTAGCTGGGCCTTCAAGGGATGCTGTGTTTGGGGGTAACTAGAGATTTGATATATTTATGTCTGGAACCCTAAATCTTCAACATAACAAACATGGAGCTGGGTGCATTTTCCCCATGGGAGGTCCCATGCTCCCCTCTCCTCCCAGGACAGCAGGATGTCTATTTGTCCTGGTAAAAATTAGGAAGAAGATAGGTGTCAACATACCCATCCTGTATTCCCACAGGAAGATGCTCATGATTTTGCATTATAAATCCACATTGGTGTGATGTACATACACTTAAAACGATTCAGGAGGCTCCTGGAGTTTAACAACCCTGGGCCAATAAATGTGCTTATATTAGTAATTTAGAGACCATGTTAACAAGTCAGTACACATGATCAGGTCTGGAGTAAGCAGCTAGGACACATTTCTGGGTTCAAGCATTTCCTAAAGCAAAATAACTCTGGAAGAGCTTATGTCCAAGGTCTATGGTTCTCAGCATTAAAAATTCGTATTAAGGTGGCTTTCAAGAGGAACTTCTTTTTATTATTCAAACATTTTAATTTTTAAAGATTGATTTTATTTGAAAGTCAGCATTACACAGAGATGTTCGCTCCACTGGTTGACTCCCCAGATGATCTCAGGGGCTAGTGAGGCTGAACCCAGGGGCCAGGAGCTTCTTCTGGGTCTCTCACACGGGTGGCAGGGTCCAACCACTTGGGCTATCTTCTGATGCTTTTCCCAGATCATTATTCACAAAGAGCTGGCACAGAAGTGGAACAGCAGGGACTTGAACAAACTCCTATAAGAGATGCTAGTATTGCAGGTAGCGGCTTGACTCACTCAGCCACAGGAGGAACTTCTAGAATTATTTATATTGTGAAAATGCTTCCCTTCAGCCTCCCAGCCCCTTCCCTTCTGCCTCCCCATGCCCTACCCCCCAGCATCTGCCTTCTGGTGCCTTGGCTTCCCACGCACACTTTAGGCTTCTTTTTCTGGGGGACTTTGGCAGGATTAGATTTTGTAATCTAACTTCTCTGAATTTGTTTATCATTAAATAGGTACTGTATAGCAGTTTACCCTCTGCTTTTTTTTCTTCTCCAGGGTAAACACTTATGATTGTGGAGAAAAAATTTCAAACTGGTTATCCAAGTTTTTTGGCCGTCCATGTCACTTGATCAAACAGAGTTCAAGCTTCCAGCGAAATGCCAAAGTGAAACATGGAAAAGGTATTAGATGTGGTCTAGGTTCTTAGAGGACGTTAGCACATGTCAAGATCCTGCCCATGCAGTGGATTCCCAGGGTAGGCAGGAAGTAGGTGGGAGTGACCAGCCGTTGGTGGGAGGCTGCTGAGATGGCCTCAGGTCAGCAGGCAGGGTGGTGCCCTTTCAAAGGCCAAGGAGGCCCTCAGGCCAGCTGTTTGTGCTTTTGCTCAAGACTCGAGCTTCGGTGGCACACATTTAGAAGCACAACTTGGATTCATGAAGTCAGAATGTTCCTAGTTTCCATGATGTCCTCAGATCAGGACACAGGGACCGTTGGACTGCTTTTCAGTGGGGAGACCATGTCTCCCATGTGGGTGCAGGGTCCCAAGGCTTTTGAGTCATCCTGCCTTCCTTTCCCAGGCCACAGTCAGGGAGCTGGATGGAAATTGGAGCAGCCAGGACATGAACTGGTGTCCATAAGGGACACCATGCCTGAAAAATGAAGATTAGGCAGTTGAGCCATCATTCCAGCCCCCAAAATATTTATTAATTGTGAGGGCAAATATATATAGAGAGACAGGTATCTTCCCTCCACTGGTCACTCTCCAAATGGCTGCAATGGCTGCAATGGCTGCAATGGCTGCAACTGTTGCCAGTGGCCAGGAGTCTGGAAGTTCTGTGTCTCCCATCTGAGTGCTGGGGCCCAGGCCACAGGGAGTCGAATTGGAACTTGATCTGGTACCCAAATGGGATGATAGCACTGCAGCTAGAGGCTTAACTTCCTATGCCACAACACCAGCCTCCTTGTATTTGTTTTGTAGTGGAAGGCAGACTAGCACAGTTTAACAAAGACAGATAATGAAGGGAGTGTACCTGGCAGATGAGGTGGGCATTTCATCAAGGCCTGAGAGCCTAGTCTGCATTCACACTGCAATGAAACCCAAAATTCAAGCCTAGAGCTACCAGTCTGCTGACTGAGCAGGTGCTGGGTCTGGGTTACTGAGCAGCATGGATATTGCTTAACTTGCCGACGACAATGGAGACAGAGGAGAAGGGCAGTGAGCAGCCCCGGGACTGGTCAGGTAAACCCAGTAGGGCCAGGAGGGTGCAGGCAGGGCATGTGAAACAGAGCAAGGAGCTTCAGCCTCTTATAGGAGACAACTCCTGCCAGGAGACAGTGGCTGGAGGTGATGGTGCTGGGTGAGGCTAGGTGGCTGGGCGTGAGAGCCCTGGCAAGCCGCTGTCTTTGTGAGTTGTTACCAGGGACACTCCCAGTTGCTTTGGGGAGTGAGTCTGGCAGTAGCAGTGTCCAGGAGGAGGAAGCTCGGGCCTCACCACTGAGCCTCCTCAGGCCTCACGCTGGCTGCTATGGGGTCCCACGCTGGCTGCTATGGGGTCCCACATTGGCTGTTCTGAGTCCTCGTCCTCATGGGAGAAAGAATTCAGATGAGAAGTAGCAAGCATGAAGCTTAATGAAGAGAAACATTGAGAGAGTAAGCTGACGGGCCAGGCGGGCTCCTCCGTAAAGGACTGAGAGCCTGTTCTGTATTTTTTTTTAATATATTTTTTTCATCTGCTTGAAAGTCAAAGTGGCAGAAGTTAGAGAGCGATGGTTCACTCCCGCATGTCTGCCACCTCTAGGTCTGGTCTACACTGGAGGTGGGAGGGATTGTAGGGATTCAAGTTCTAGGGCCATCTTCCGCTGCTTCCCAGTGACATTAGCAGAAAGAGCAGAGGAGCCAGGACACAAATTCGGCCCTCTACCATGGGATGTGCTTCTTCCAGTCAAGACTTCAACCCCACACCTCCTGACCTTAGATGATCTTTTTAAAAAGATTTATTTATTTTTATTAGAAAGGCAGATATACAGAGAGGAGGAGAGACAGAGAGGAAGATCTTCCATCCAATAGTTCACTCCCTAAGCGTCTGCAATGGCTGGAGCTGAGCCAATCTGAAGCCAGGAGCCAGGAGCTTTTCTGGGTCTCCCATGCAGGTGCAGGGTCCCAAGGCTTTGGACTGCCCTTGACTGCTTTCCCAGGCCACAAACAGGGAGCAGGATGGGAAGCAAGGCCACCAGGATTAGAACTGGCGCCCACATGAGATCCTGGCACGTGCAAGGCAAGGATTTTAACCACTACGCTATTGTGCCGGGCCTGACCTTAGATGCTTTTAGATGGACTATTCTAGGAAGTCATTTTCCTCTTGGGAGGTCTGAGTCATTTGTCAGGTACCATTTTGTTTTCCCTTATGGAAGCAGAATCCACCTTTAAAAACAAGTTCTTGGAAGCAAGCTTCATTTGCATTTCAAGAAAGCATCTCTCTCTCTTTTTTAAAATGCTCCATCATTTTCAGATCAATTTCCTGCTACGACAGCCACCCTTTCTCTGGTGAATGAGGCACAGTACCTGCTGGTGAATCAGTCGAGTGTTTGGGAACTTCAGCAACAACTAAGTACCAGGTAAGACCTCTTGGCTGAGGACCAACGGACAGGAACTGCCTCTGGGGGGAGGCCTGGCTCTACCTGGGGAAGGATTTGAGAGTTACAGAGACTACCGTCTTCACTCACTCCTGCGGCCCAGGGAGGTGAGCAGAGCCTTTGGCCGGTTCCCAGTAGTTTTTTGAGAAAGTTCTCATTTACTGTCCATTGACCCTTAACAATTTCAAGATCCCCAGAGAGGAAGCCCCAGCCAGCATTCTCTAATCATTTCATTATTTTAAAATATTTCTTTCATGGCTTCAGTGGCTGGAGTCAGGCCAGTCCAAAGTCAGAAGGCATGAGCCTCTTTTGGGTTTCCCAGGTGGGACTTGAACCATCCTCTGCTGCTTTCCCAGGCACATCAACAGGGAGCTAGATTGGAAGTGGGGCAGCTGGGACTTGAAGCAGTGCCCACATGGGATACCAGTATGATAGGCAATGACTGTTCCAGCCATGCCACAGTGCCGGCCCCGAAAGATGTATTTCTTTATTTGAGAGGTAGAGTCTTGAGAGAGGGAGATTTTCCATCCATTAGCTCATGTCCAAATGCCTATAACAAGCAGGACTGTGGTAGACCAAAGTCAGGAGCCCAGAAGTGGGTGGCAAGTGAGAGGCTGGGCCAAGCATTCTCTGCTGCTTTCTCAGGCATGTTGGCAGGGAGCTGGATTGGAAGTTGTGCAGCTAAGCCTGGAGCCTGCATTTATATGGGATGTTGGTGTCAGAGGCAGTGGCTTAAGCCACCATGCCACCACCCACTAGGTCATAACCCCAGCCTCTCATCATTCCATTAACTAACACTTGGTTAAATTGAATTGCCATCAAGTTGGCCTAGTTTCCTGGCCAACCCTTCCATTGTCTTCTGCGTCCCAGGAGCCTTGTTCTACTGGACAGTAATTTTGAGGGCTGATAAAAGAACAACTGTGAAAGCCTTTTGCATTTTTTTAAGTAGGTTTACTTATTTTTTTATTGAAAAGTTATATTTACAGAGAAAGAGAAAGATTTTTGTTTGGTGATTCACCCCCCAAGTGGCTGCAATGGCCAGAGCTGAGCCAATCTGAAGCTAGGAGCCAGGAGCCTCTTCTGGGCCTCCTACATGGGTACAGAGTTCCAAGGCTTTGGGCCGACCTCAACTGCTTTCCCAGGCTACAAGCAGGAAGCTGGTTGGAACTTCGAACAGCTGGAACATGAATCAGTGCCCATATGGGATCCCAAGCATGCAAGGCGAGGGCTTTAGCCATTAGGCTACTGCTCCAGGCGCAAAATCCTTTTGTGTTTAACTGAGGTGATCCCAGACCTGACTCCTGTGTGTGCCAGCCAGTATGGGGTTCAGCTCAGTCTGTCGCCCACATCAGCCTAAATACATACTGGTGGTTGCAGTTGCTAGGTTGGTTCTGCCTCCAACCCCATCTCTTGCTCAAAGTAATGGATGCTGCAGCCCAGCCCAGCCCTACCCACCATACACTTGGTCCTCAATGTACCCCAGCCCAGTTGGAACAACCCCCAGTAACCCCACCAGGTCCACCCTCAGCCCTGGTTCCTGTGCTTGCCAGTATGTACAGAAGACTGGTTCATTCTGTCCCACATCCCATTTTGTTCTATCCTGGATTTTGCACTTTCCACATGGCACAACCCTGCCCAGTCTACCCTTTCCAGAACCAATGCACACACTTGGCAGCAAGTGGAGCAGCTTGCCTGGCCTGACCCATACTCCTAATCTGAATCATGTGCTCACTGGTGGGAGATACAGCTCACCATGGGAGTTCCCCAATTTCCCCCACTTAGCCTACTCCCAGATCTCATGTATGCCATTGGGTGCTAGGCTCTTAACCAACATAGCCTGCCCTCTCTGTCTTGGCCTTTGTGTGTGCTGGTGGATACTGTGGCCTGTTCCGCCCAATACCCTATTCCTGGATGTACCTATGGGTACTGAAGCCTGGACCAGCTTGGCCTGTTCTCAACCCCAGTACCCATGAGAGTCAGAGGTTCCCATGGTCATATCTAGCTTAGCCCTTCACTACCCCACTCACTTGAGCAAACTAGCAGGTATTTCAGTTCCACAGGGCTAAGCCCACGTAGTCCCCACAGAATCTGCTCCCAGAACTGATGCTCTCATGTGCTAGGCAGTGTCATGGTCGAGACTTATGTTACCTATCTCCTGTTCCAGTACACACAGACAGGAAGATCTGGGTGAAGCCCCCAGCCCTAGCTTTAGTGTGTACTGGTGGGTGGTGATCAGTGGTGGTTGATGCTAACTAGCCCAGCTCAGGTCTCCCACATGTGTGGGTGCATCAGTCTGATCCATAAAGGTCCTCTAACTTCCTTCTTCCAAACCTCTCAGTCTCAGCCCCCTCACTTCCCTGCAATTACGGTGGCCCTGTTGGTAAAAGTCCCCCAGGAGTCATTCCTCACCTGCAACATACTCCTTTGGCAGTCTTCCCTTGCACGCATCCTCATACCCACTTTCTTGAGAGGATCACAGTCCCCGCACCTGGGAGCACATGGGTTCCCCAGCCCTGTCTTCCCAAGTCCAATTTCCTGGTGGAGGGGTGTGCTGACCTGGAGCTCTGGCTACCCACTAGGGACCCAAGATCATGGACGGGTTCCCAGACTGGCTACCTGGGATCTTACCCCTCTGCTCACTTGGGACGCAAGTACATGTGCAAGACCTCAGGCCTGGCCCAGTTGCACATCATACCAGCATGGGGCCTTTCCCCACTGCTCCCCACCTGCCGTTGGAACGAAAGCACATGCGCAATCTCAGGCCCACTCGACAGTTCGCTGCAAGTCCTCAGATCCCAGAGCTCATGGAAGAGAGTGTGCCTAATGTTGGCTCAGTCTGCACAGACAGAAGAAAGCCACCAGTGGCTTCATTTTCACACAGATGTTCTTTAACTTGGCACAAGGGGAGCGATTCAGAGTGTGCTCATGAGACACATTTACAGGGTTTCCTCTGAGTGAGGATGGACATGCATGGAGCTGCCAAGTACCATTGTTCATAACCCCATAGCAGTAAACAGAAAATTAAAACATGAGTTACAAAAATAGCCTAAGCTACTTAAGGCTGAAAATAAGACATTCATCTTCTATGTTGAAATGTATGATGTTTTTAAGTTTTTAATTTGTTTAGAAAATGTTAACAGATATAAACATTTTATATATTTGTGGGGTACTATGTTTTAACACATGCATGCATCATTTAATGTCCACAGTAAATATTTGTCTCTTCAAATTTCTGACATTTATTTTTACTGAAACACCCAACATTGTCTTAGCTTTTTTTAATTGAGACATAAAGTGTGTTAACATTACCTGCAATTACCCTACTATGCAAAAGAACCCCGAAACGTCTTATTTCTATCAAGTATAACCTAGTACCAATCAGTCAGCCTTTCCCCATCTGTCCTTTCCTTCTTCCATCCCAGCCTCTGGTAAGTGCCAGTGCTTTTAATTTTATGAAATTACCCATTTTTCAGACTTGACATATGAGTGAGATCATGTGACACTTGTCTTTCTGTGCTTGGCTTATTTTACTTAACGTGAATTCCACTTCCATCCGTGTGGTTGTCAATGAAGATTTTGCCCATTTTCCTTGTTGAGTAGTATTCCATTGTGCATATGTGCCACACTTTATTTATCCATCAGTGGAGAGACACTTAGGTTGATTCCATTTCCTGGCTATCGTAACGTGTGCTGCAGGAGACATGGGACTGCAGATGTCTCTTTGCCAGACAGATTTCATTTCTCTTGGATCAAGACCCAGGAGTGGGGTTGCTGGATCATATGGAAGTTCTATTTTTAGTTTTGGAAGAATTTCCATACTGTCTTCCAAAATGACTTTATTTTATTTATATTTTAAAAGATTTATTTATCTGAAAGGCAGAATAACAGAGATCAGGAACCCCCCCCAACCCACATATACACACCTCTTCTGCTGATTCACTCCCCAAATAACTTTGCCAGACCAAAGTCGTGGACTAAAAACTGAATATTCCGCATGGGTGACAGGGCTCAAGTGCCCGGGTTATCTTCCATTGCCTTCTCAGGTGCATTAGCAAGGAGTTGGATCAGAATCAGAGCAGCAGGAATCATAAACAGTGCTCTGATAGTGTATGCTGATGAGGCAAGCCAGTGCCAGTCCCATGTATTTGTGAATGTATTTGTGATAATTTAACTCCCTAAAGGACTATGAGCTTTTGGTGCTTTTGAGGTCCTTGGTAATCTGTTTAAGGTCAACTCTTTAATTGCCTATGCCTGTCTCCCTTCTCAGGGGGCATATCTCAGGGGGGTGCTGTTGAAGACTGATGGGTGGGTGTCATCTTAATGCTGGAGGTGAAAGTTTGCTTCTCACCATCCACACCTCAGGCCAGAGGGAGCTGGCCAATCAGGTGTCATGGGGCAAGTATATGCCCATGTTCTGCTATTCATGCTTTGGGCATGTCTTGTACAGTGATGAGAATGGAAAGGAGGAGTTATTCCCAATGAAAGACCTCATTTCGCGTTTCCGGGCCAATATTATTACCAATGGAACAAAGCCTTTTGAAGAAGAGAAGTGGGATGGCATTTCGGTTGGTTCCTTGCATTTTCAGGTAAGTCATGAGAGGTTCTGCTGTCCTTGTGGAAATGTAATGGGTACAGACTGACCTCCATCTCTGACCTGATGGTGGCAGGTGGGAAGTCCTTCCGTGCTTGGCTCTTACGCCATACAATCCCATCATGAAAGTGAGCTTGGCATCCCAGGGTCTTTAAGTCACCCTTAAATCTAGCTAAGGGGCTGGTGCTGTGGGGTGGCACATTGAGCAGCCACCTGCAATGCTGACATCCCATATGGATGCCGGTTTACGTCCTGGTTGCTTCACTTGCTTCACTTCCCATGGAGCTCCCTGTTAAGGTGCTGGGAAAGGAAAGCAGATGGTCCAAGTGCTTGGGTACCTGCTGCCATATGGGAGATCTGGGTGAAGCTCCTAGCTCCTGGCTCCTGATTTTGGCCTGGCCCCAATCCTAGCCATTATGGCCACTTTGGGAATGAACCAATGCAGGGAAGATCTCTCTGTCTCTTGTCTGTTCTCTTTCTGTATCTCTGCCTTTCAAGTAAGTGAATGAATAAAATCTTTAGAAAACAATCCAGCTAATGAGATGGAGGAGAAAATGTGGCCTGGAGAGGTCATGGGTCAGCCAAGCATCCCAGGTGAGAGACAGGCTCCTCTCTCCTTCCCCCATCTCTGTCCATTTCAACTACTTATGTGGCCTGGGAAAGCTGCTTTATTATTTTTTTTTAAGTTCCTTTATTTATTTTTTATTATATTTGAAAGTGGGGAGGGAGAGAGAGAAATCTTTCGTCTGCTCGTTCACTGTCCAAATGCTTATGATGGCTGGAACTGGGTCAGGCTGAAGCCAGGTCCCTAGAACTCCTAGCAGGTTTCCTTGCCTGCCGCCTAGGACTTGGGCTATGGCTCTGCCTTCCAGGGCGTGTACCAGCAGGAAGTCAGATCAGAAGCAGAGTAGCTGGGACTTGAACCAGGCACTGAAATATGGAGTGTAAGCATCTCAAGCAGTTATCTGACCACAGCACCACCCTCCTGCCCCTGGCCTGGGGAGCAGGACTTCAGCTCTACAGGAGATTGTGTCCCTTGGCCTAGGTGTGGGCTGTTGCTATGCACCTGTCTCTGCAGAAGGGGAGGATCTAGGCAACTTTGTTGTAGCACTGTCTTCTTCCTTCACTTCTGCCAGGTTTTGGGACCTTGTCATAGGTGCCAGATGATTTGCATCGACCAGAAAACTGGGCAAAGGAACCAAGATGTGTTTCAAAAACTTTCTGAGACTCGCAAGAGAAAGGTAAGCAAGATGGCCAAGCCCTGCCTGCCCCATAGTTCCTCGCATTGTTCTGTGGTCTGGCCTGTTACTGGCACCAGAGGTGGGGTGAGGAGAACACTGAGTAATTATCCGAAATGGGGACTGTCCTGCCTGTTTCAAGGCTGCTGGGCCATCGCCACTGGGTCTCTGACCTTGCGTTTTGTTTGATTTTGTTTTATTTGCATGCATTTTTTAATGCTCTCCAATCTTGTTTAAAAAGCTGTGACTAGGGCCCGGCGCGGTGGCGCAAGTGGTTAAAGGTCCTCACCTTGCATGCCCGGGATCCCATATGGGCGCCGGTTCTAATCCCGGCAGCCCCGCTTCCCTTCCAGCTCCCTGCCTGTGGCCTGGGAAAGCAGTCGAGGACGGCCCAAAGCTTTGGGAACCTGCACCCGCGTGGGAGACCTGGAAGAGGCTCCTGGCTTCGGATCGGCATAGTATCGGCCCGTTGCGCTCACTTGGGGAGTGAATCATCGGACGGAAGATCTTCCTCTCTGTCTCTCCTCTCTGTATATCTGCCTTTCCAATGAAAAAATAATAAAAATAAATCTTTAAAAAAAAAAAAAAGCTGTGACTATAAAAAAGCAGTGAGTGAAGTGATTCTGCTGTCTGAGTGGCTGTTTTCTTCACGGAAGATCTCACTCAGAGTGACTGCATAGTAAGAATTAGCTAGTGTCATTATCCTGAGCTCATCTCCTTAAGGGTAATTGTTACAGATTCTAAATGTTATAAACTGATTTTTTAAAAAAGGGTTTGTTTTATTTACCTGAAAGGCAGAATGATTGATAGAGGAGAGACAGAAAGGGAGCAGGAGGAGACAAGTCTCTCATGGACTGGTTCACTCTCCAAATGGCCACAATGGCCCAGGCTAGGTCAGACTGAAGCCAGGAGCCCAGAACGCCATCTGGGTCTCCAGTGTGGGTATCAAGAGCCCAGGGACTTGGGCCTGCGTCCTTTGTTTTCCCAGGGTACCTAGTAGGGAGCTGGCTCATGAGTGCAGCAGCAGTTAAACTGGCACTGCTGTTTTTGGTATTGCAAAAAGAGGCTTAACCCACTGTACCACATGGATTCTTTAGAAAGATTTGTTTTACAGACTCATGCTTTCTGTAGGACTTATTGTCCCCAAAGATTTCCAAGAAGCCAAGTAGGAGTTAGGCAGTGTAGAGCACTTCTTAAAAATCAGCAGAAATGGGCCTGGCACAATAGCCTAAATGGCTAAAGACCTCACCTTGCATGCACCAGGATCTCATATGGGTGCCACTTCATGTCCTGGCTGCTCCACTTCCCTTTCAGCTCCCTGCCTGTGTTCTGGGAAAGCAGTCGAGGACAGGCCAAGGCCTTGGAACCCTGTACCCATGTAGGAAACCTGAGGGGGCTCCTGGTTCCTGGCTTCAGATTGACTCAGTTCCAGCTGTTGTGACCACTTGGGGAGTAAACCAGAGGATGGATCTTTCTGTCTCTCCTTTCTATAAATCTGACTTTCTAATAAAAAAAGTTTTTTTTTTTAAAGATAAAAATTGACAGAAATGATGCACGTATCCAGTCTATTTCCAATAATACCTCTCAGGTTAATGTGTGGTAGAAGGTTCTATGCCCTTTCTGTAGAGGGTTTCTGCAGATGCAGGATTTTGTATCCTTACAGATATAGGAGGGATGTGACATCCTGGAGATGTTGCTGGGGGTGCTATACCAACGTGTGTGTCCAGCTCCTGCAGGCCCTAAATGGGTGTGAACACCTTCAGCCTGCCCCACGTGTGTTGTCTGGAGAATACATGGATGGGCACGGGTCCCAGAGTCCCTGGAAGTAGTGCTCCTTAGTGTCCCTGTGATCCTGATGGGCGCAAGTGGCTGACTTTTCAATTCTGCAATGTTTTTATTTATCGCATCTTTATGTATGGAATACTTTCAGGTAGAAAAGTTGCAAAGTGAGTGCAGAGTCCCCATGCTCTTTTCACCCACAAGCACTTAAATCTTAAGGCATGAACTTGCCTATAGCCCCGTAGCCTGGGTCCTAAAACTGGAGGATGTCCCAAAGGTGTGGCAGGAACCAAGGGCTCAAAGACAGCATCCTGTCCTCCCCAGGGGTCTTAATGGCTCCATTGCAAACCTTGAGCAGACTCTTGAATTTTCTCATTTTGAGCTTTCCATTGTCTTTCTTATGGTGAATTTGGAGAACTTACAGTACTCATTTACAAAGAAAACTGCAGAATTTTGTCAGTATCTTCCTTGAATAGTTTTTGGTTTAGGGGACAGAGAGGAGATGGGCCTGGCAGTGGTCAGAAACTGAGAGTGGAGAGAAGGTCTTCTAGCAGGACGCTCGGGGCACGTGAGGCAGTGATGCAAAGAACACACCCGGCAAGATGGAGGCATAGGGTCAGGATGCTCAGAAGATAAATCTTTATGATCTGATGCGAATTCTCCCCGTGTCCCACCGTGCACTGCCATGTAAAACAGCACTGCATTGAGTTCCAGCGCATGCCTCTGAAGATCGCTCTTCAGTGTTTACTTGTACCTCATCATTGGCAGCCTTATTTGAACTGCTGTTACTGCTCTCTTATTCCTAGGTGAACTTTGGCGTGTACCTGATGCATACGTCCGTGGATTTATCTTCTCCGTGTTTCCTGTCTGTGGGATCTAAGGTGTTCCCGGTATTGAAAGAGAATGTGGAACATGCTGATTTACCGGCTTCTGAGAAACACCAGGATATTCTCTCCTGATCACACCCTGCCCCAGCACACATAAAAGTTTCTCTGTTACCGCGATCTCTGCCGTTATTAAGGTCTGCAACTTGATTGAGTAGAACTGTCTTTTTCAGTAATGATAGGCCCTTTCTGTCGGAGAATGAATGTTCTTCCCCTCTCCACCCCTAGTCCCCTGATTTCTCTGTACCTTTGCAGTCAGGAGAGCAGCTCTGAGGCCTGAGGACTGAATGCTGCATCCACACCCAGCCAGACTCCCATGTGTACCTGGACTGGGGTTGGTAGGAGTTGGAGGAAATGTGTGATTCAGGACAATGGAGATATTTAACTTACTCTGGATTCCTACCTGGCTGCTTTCTTAGAAAGAACCTGGAGTCTCTGTGGTTTGAGCTGAGGACAGGAGGATCTGTGCCCACTTGTCTGAGGAGCTGACCCTCTCTAACCATGTATGTGCTGGGGGGACCTGTGCTCCAGGGCAGTGCTGCTGGTCATGTTCCTGGGTGGATCTCAGATCCAGATGTTTACATACTAGGCCAAGGCACAGGCCAACCACCCGTTGCATCCTGTGCCTAGCTCCCATCATTGGCCCCTCTGACTCAACACTCCAAGGATGGCTCATTAGCCACACTCAGGACTGGTGGTGCTGGCTTCCTCCCTTCCTCAGACCCCAGGGATGGGATTGGCCCATCCTCCCCAAAACCCCAAACCCCAATCAGCAGAGGAGCTTTGGAGCTCAGGGATCCTGTCAGTAATACCTCTGGTCAGTGCTCCTGTGGTCTGCAGTACTGGGAAGGCCATTCTATGCTGAGGCTACCCAGTTTATGGAGCTTCTAGAATATTCCTCCACGGAGCCAGCTTGTATCTGCCAGCTATGACCCTTGCTCTGCCATGTGCAGCAGTGCAGAGCCAGTGTGTTGTCTACTCCATACAAATTCTGCTGGGGTTCCTCTGATGCTGGGCATCTGGGTGTGGACCCTGATCCCCTCTGCCTTCCACCTGAACTGTCGTAGGTGTCCAGTCGCTTCTTTTCCCCAAGCCTCTGTCCACCACTGCTCATTGTGCTTCCTAAATCCAGTGCCACCAGCCTCTCATTTGTTGAATGCACCAAGCTCAGGTTTCCCTGCTTTGTCCTGAGGAGCTGGTGGGATTCAAAGTCCAGTTGGTTCCATTATCTCATTAGTAGGATATTGTTCCCAGCACCATGTGGGATTTCAGACATGAGGCTGCTCTATTCTTTAGGATTGTGGGTGCCTTGTGCTTGCACCCTCACTTAGCATGCAAAAGTAAGTGTGAGAAGCACACCCTTGACTCATTGGTTGGTTTTAAGAGGCTTGTGGGGCTAATATGGTGGCTCATAGGCTAATCTTCCACCTGCAAGTGCCAGGATTCCATAGGGGGTGATGGGGAACTGCTCAAGTTAAAGCTGCTTTGTCCACTCATACCCAACACTGTATCCAGCCCCTGCTGGGCCCAGGGCAGAAAGACCAAGGGGCCCTCTGCCAGCATGGCCCACACTTGCAGCTCAGGGGAAAGAAAGCAGGTTATAAGTAGCATTGGCCCATGAGAAGGACCTGCTCTTCTCAGAAGAAGCTGTTAGAACCGACTGTGCCTGGTTTTCCCCAGCTTTCCTTTACTCCAGGGAACAGGCGAGCTGTCCAACAGATCACAGGCAGCTGCTGGAACCCAGCGGATCTAGAGATTCACCACTGGTGCTGGAGGATGCTGGTCTTGATTGGAGGCATCCTGGGGATGCTGACACTGTGGGTGGTGAAATGTTCCAAGCACCCAGGGTCTCCCAGAGCGGCCCAAGTTCCTTTCACTGCAGGAACCAGTTTGGGCTGTTGAAAGCAGCAGGGGAGCTGGGGTCTGCCTGGCAGGTGCTTGCAGCCTGGCTTTCCCCCACTCTCCTTTGCGCTGAGCTCATTAATCTCTACCCATTGTGCTTTGCAAGTGTTCAGATCAAATCATGGCAAACAGCCTCCACGTGGAAAGGCCTGGAACACCTCTAAGTCTCACCTGAAAAAGGACAGCAACCACAGGGCTTAACCCATAAAATTAAGGATTGCGTGAGGTATTTTGGGTTTAGCACTGTGGCAAGCAGGTAACGTGGCAGTGCGCCACGTTCACCGCCTGGTGGCAGCACCAGTTAAGTGCGGATTTTGTGGAATTGGTAAACCAGTCCCACCCAAGCATGGTGGCAAATCTCACGCTGCTGGCCTTCCAGTGTAGACCAGATGTGAGAATGGCTTATCGCAGTTTTGAAAGATTCTGTTATATTTATCCGAGAGGCAGAGAAAGACTGAGAGTGAGCCAGTTCCCATCCACTGCTTCATTCCCCAAATTCCCACAGTGGCCAGGGGACAGAAGCCAGAAGCTGGGATGGGAGAGGCAGGAATCTGCCCAGGCACTCTGATGTGGGCTGCCTGGCGTCCCAGCAGGCAAAATGTCTGTCTTTTAACACTGTTTATGAATTCATCAGAGAGAGAGGGAGAAGATAGGAAATTAAATGATCTGGGAGCATTTTCTTTGCTGGGGTTGGGGTCCTTTAAAAGTTGCTGAACGATTTCCTGAACAGATTACTTTTCAACCTACTTTCTCTTGGCACATTTTTTAGTGATGCTGTTTCAGTCTCTCTCCCCTTACTCCTGTGTAGATGGCTCGTACACACATACATGGGAACACATTGGTGTAGGGAGAGCTGTCCCAGCTCCTGGTGGCCAGCCACAGCATGAGCTTTTCTCTTCTGACTCCTGAGTGTGGAAGCCCGGAGCCCTAAGCACCTGAGCCTATCATCTGAACTCTGCATATACCCTTCCCACAGTTGGCCATCAGCTAACTCTTTCTCATCCTTATAAGGATGAGCTGGCAAGGACACACACACACAGATGTGTTCAGAGTCATTTAGGAGGGTCATTTGGGGTCGTTGGTGCCTACAGGACAGTGTAGAGAGAGCAACTTGGGCTACAGGTGCAGTGAGGTCCTGGCCCTGCAGTGAGAAGCTGAGGGCAGGGTGCCTGCTTGCTCTGGGCTAAGGACTTCGCTGAAGGAGGCAAACTTCTCCAAGGGAGGACCTAAAGGAACTCAGGATCAAAGCCCCTTGCCCACTGGTTTGCTCTGCAAGCAACTAGTGCCCACGCTTCTGCCTGCCCTACAGCACCCATCTGGCTTCCTGTGTGAATGGACAGCTGAAGGCCATGCCATTTAAGGATAAACAGAAGGGCAGACAGAAAGGACCTAAAGAATGCAGAAACAGTGTGGCTGGAAGAAGAAACACTGGGAGGAAATGGAGCCAATAATATTAGGGAAATCATGAAAACAAGAAAAAGGTATTTCACAAAGACAAGTCAAAGAACAAGAATGAATTCTGAAATATTAGAAGCATGAATACTGCCACAAAAAATTGACTAGGAGACAGGGAGTCCAGAGCAGAGGAAATCTCCCAGAAAGCAGCACAGAATTAGAGATGAACACGACCGAAAGTTAAGAAATTGGGAGAATTTGTTTAGTGTTCTAACGTTCCAAATAATAGAGGTTCTAGAAAGATGAAGCAGAGAATAGTGAGGAGAGAATTCTCTCAAAGACAAGACATAAAAACATTTCTGTAGCAATTAATGGGATGGTTAGATCAAGAAGATGTCCAAAAATGTCCATTGAATGCCAACATGATATCCCCATAAGAATTCATATCAGGGCACTTCCTAATGGGAATGAGAGAGAGAGAGAGAGAGGTTATATGGATATTTTCAGTAGCAATATGGTAAAATAGATGACAGTGGAGCCATCTGTCAAAACAACGAGTGAAAGCATTTAAATGAATTTCCACCTAGAGTTCTATAGCATGTGCATTTGACTGTTGCAAAGTTGAGCTTCATCTCTGGGTATTCAGGCCTCTGTGCAAGGGACTTTGTTTCTACTCAGCATTGATTTCCCCACTGTTCAGATCTAGGTTGGCTTTAAATGACTTTGAATTTGCAGCACAATTCTTGATCCCAGGGCTCAGGGACACTGTAGCTAAGGCTTCCAGCAGGAAGACCAGGTCCAGCTGGCTGGGTGAGAAGCCATAGGCAGGCCCCTGCAGCCACCTGTGGCAGTCAGCATGCACTAGCAGACATGGAGGCAACAGGCTGTGAGTCCAACTAGCCCCTGGCAACTTCAGATGTGTGCAATTGCCCTACTGAAAAACTGCTGATGCCTGGAATCCAGAGAAATGGAAGTGGTGGCTCTTTTAAGTGGATACATTTTGGAGTGGGCATTCAGTACTGTTGTAACAAAACTGTGGCCTTGGCTTTAGAACTAGGTGAAAGGTCCAGCTCGGTAACTTAGTGGCTAAAGTCCTTACCTTGCATGTGCCAGTCCCATATGTGCGCTGGTTTTAATCCTAGCTGCTCCACTTCCCATCCAGCTCCCTGCTTGAGGCCTGGGAGAGCAGTTGAGGATGGCCCAAGGCTTTGGGACCGTGCACCCACATGGGAGACCTGGAAAGAAGCTCCTGGCTCCTGGCTTCAGATTGACTCAGCTTCAGCCATTGCAACCACTTGGGGAGTGAACCAGTGTATGGAAGATCTTTCTTTCTGTCCTCTCTGTAAATCTGACTTTCCAATACAAATAAACAAGTCTTAAAAAAAAAAAAAGAACTAGGCAGAGGCTGGGTGAATGGAGTAGAAAATGCTATTTAAATCTATGTGCTGTATGGCCTTTCCAGACAGACACTCAGATACAACTCCTCTGATTCTGAGAATCATGAATGTGAGCACCAAGTTATACTCCCTCTATGCTCCCAACCAGAAAATGGTGAGACTAGGTCAGAATAATTTCAGTAGGCATACTCGTCTAGGTTTATATACAGATCAGGCCTTTCCTGCAGCAGGTAAGGTGCCACATCAGAGTGTCTGGTTTCAATGTCCAGCTCCAGCTTCCTGCTAGTGCAGACCCTAGAAGACAGCAGGGATGATTTAAGTTCCTGGCCCCCAACATGGGAAACTTGATTTCATGACTTCTGGTTTTGGGCTTGGCCCAGGTTTTGCTATTGTGGGTACCTGGTGAATGACCCAGTGGGTGAGAAG